CTTTGACGCGCCAAATTTGGTTTTGTTGAATTTGAAACGAAACAAACTTGAATCTATGAAAAACGTTATGAAAATTCCGAATGTTCTTTTGCAACATTTGGATTTGTCGTTTAATCCTCTAACTGAATTGTTGAGCGGGAAATATTTCTCGAATGTCAGATACTTTGATTTATCTTTTACCAAGATAAATTCTCTGTCGATAGACGCATTCGCCAATTTGGCTAAGTTGGTTGTACTTTTGCTTAGAGGTTGCGCAATAAAGCAGATGGACAATTGGTTTCTGAGGGAGAATCGCCTCCATAAGTTGGATTTGTCGGAAACGAAATTTCCAATGGAAAACGTGAAAACTCTCATTTCAAATTTGAAAAGTGTAAAGATAGTGAAAAGCGAATATTTCATTTTGTGTTGCTTTGCGTGGAAGTATTTGAAATCTATCGAATCGTGTTTTCCTTCCACTTCTCTATTCAACACTTGTTCCGATCTTTTGGCGTCCAATGCTCTGAAAGTGATTCTATGGCTTTACGCAATTTGTGGAATTGTGGGTAATTCTTTATCGCTTTTGTTCAGGATATTCCATTTCAGGAGACCTACGCATTTCTTTTACATTTCAATGTCTTTTGCCGACCTAATTACTTGTTTGTACTTAATGATTGTTGGTTCGGCGGACGTCTATTTCAGAGGGAAATTTTTCGAGTACGAACAAGCGTGGACTTCGGGATTGTTTTGTAAATTTTTGGGTTCAATGATGAACTTTTCTGTATTATACTCGTCGTTGAATCTTCTGTGTATAAGTTTCGAAAGATTCTACGCCATCAAATTTCCTTTGAATCCTCGTTTAGGTATTAAAGTTGTGAGCGCAAGTACCATTAGCTTACTGTGTGTGAGTTTAGCGCTGGCTATTTTTCCTATCTTGTTCTACGAGGTAACGTCAACTGTTTAATTGTTAACGATAAAGATGTTTTCTATAACAATGGATTGGTGTTTGTTTTACCAACTTTTCAGAACTTTTTAAACAATTCGCCAATATGTTTTAAACTTCAAGTCCGGAGCAATAAAGATGAGGATACGTTGTATTCATTCGCCATTTATGGAATACTAATGTTTTTGATAGCAATAATTAACTCAATAGTGTACATTTGCGTCATAAAATTAATTAATCAGCGAAATAGGAGTTTTATTAGTATAAATAAAGAAAAAGTATTTATTTCGCAATCTATTTATTGGATAACATTATCAAATGTATTATGTTGGCTTCCGATATCTCTGATGGGTAAATTATTGTAGTTTATTGTTAGTTTTTTGAATTTGGGTTGTTGTTAATTGTTTTCAATTTTAGGTATAACATCTTTATTCGTTGAATTATATTTTAGTAACGAAGCCTATACTTGGATTGTGATTGTGTTTGCTCCGATTAATTCAATTATTAACCCATATTTTTACTACTTTGGTGAAATGTTAAAACTGAAACGGAAGAAACGTTTAGAAGAGATTGTTAGAGAGTAAGTAGAGACCGTATATGTTGTTTGTTAGCAATTAGTCGGTAATCGGCTAATGAGATATTAATTAATTCAAAGACTTTTTTTTGATATAGAAATGAAGGAAAGGAAAATTTAATAGCCAGAGTTGAAAAGGAAAGTATGTAAAACAATTGTTTCCCCTCTTTTCATCTTTATTCTGTAGATTTAACAATTGCTTGTGTCAAGGGTTGCTTTTTATTTTGTTAAATAGATTTAGAATTTATAAATAGCTTTTATGATAATCATTTGGCAACTGGGCATGCAGAGAAGTTTCTTCATAGTTTAGGTGGTGAGATGATGAAATTCGAGATAAAGTCGTTTGTTGGTTGCTTAAAAGATTGCATAGTAGCATTAAAGCATTGTCATTCTTATGGATTTACACTAAGTGGAAATATTAACGAATCGATGATATATTTTGAGGTTTTATCTCTTTATTCACGTAAAATTTAGGACAATAACTACAACCACAATTATATATTGCCAATACAACCGTTTTGATTTCTATTTTAGCGCAAGAAAAGCGTTTGTTCATTTTTTATAATTCCGGCTGAATATGGAATATTGAATGGTGAAAATACGACTACGGACATTGAGGCGTATGGATATTTTGTTAAGAGAACTTTGGAAACAGCTGTATTTACTTGATGAAAATCTTGCGATTGTTGTAAAAAAAGACGTCTTATAACTTTTAATAAATTATATATGCTACATTTTTCATTGAATGATGTATATAATTTGTTTGATGATAGGCTGTATGCAATTTTGTTTTATTGATAAGCTGAACAAATAAATTACTTACGTGACACTAAATAATTTCATTAGAGTTAAATATTAAATATTATTCCTCTATTAAGTATCCTATTTTACAAGAGTTTATAGGATAGAAAAAAGACGGCTGTTAAAGGAGGGCACTAGTTATTCTTGTTCAAATCAACCATTTGAAGACTTCTTTTGTTGTCGGTAACTTTTAATGAATTAAACGTTGATTAAGAGAGATTGAAAGAAACGTGTTGATAAGGGTTCTTCTGTAAATAGGGTTTACCGATAGTAGAAGCAGTAGTAGTAGTTGTTGTTGATGATGTTGTAGTAGTAGTTTAAAGTGAAAAGAAATTAACCTCTATATACTATACATATACTGTATAAATTTATACAGTAGATATAGACGTTTATAGCACTTTCATTGCTAGCTCCCACTCGCTTTTATGACACAAATGATGGTTTGATAGCCGTGGCTTGTTCAAAGTATCTCCTCAAAAGATTTTTACATTAAGCATCGTTGCGTTTCTATTTTGTTGCACTTCAACGTTTTGCGTCATATATTTCTATATATAAAAAAAATGTAAAGAGAATAGTCTAGAAATTTTTTCTTTATTTATTCCGAATAAAGAATCTTTTATGATGAAAAAGTAAAAGAATTCTATTTGTAAGAAAACGTTTCTTTATATTTTATATAAAAAAAAATGACTAAATTAAATATTTCACTATTTAAATAGCAACATTCAGCAGATGTTGGCGGTAAGAGAAGAGGGTATATAAAGTGCTGAAGACTGTCTGTAGATCATCATTCGCTTAAATCTTCACTGAAGACAAGACAGAAAAGGAAAGAAAGAAAACCATGAATCTTCTGGCTAAGACACTCGTTTCTCTATACGTTGTAGTTATGGGCGTATTGGCAGCTAGTCAGGTTGGCAAGATAATCATTCTGTACAGGTATATCTAACATTTCATTAATTGTTATTAAACTGTTAAACAGCTAGTTATGGCTTCTGACGTTGATTGGTCTGGAGATGATAAAATGATGGAAGGTTCTGCTTAGAAACGAACAGCGAAATGATCGAATTGAAAAAGGAAAAGAAAGAAAAGTTAAAATTCGTTTTTGAAACAGGATAAAGGATTTAGAATGAGAGGAAGGTTATCTTCAATTATCTTTCTTTCATTTCTGCAATTGAAATATATCTAAATGCACGAAAACGAATAAACTATTCTGATTAATAATAAAACGACTAGTTGGTTTTCTATCGGTTTTCTTTGTAGGGCAACACTTGTAGGGGACTATCCAAGTGATAAGGGAACTAGAGAAAAGAGTATAGGAAACATTTTTCCAAGCTACTATCAATGCAAGAGAGGAATGCTATTCTCTTCTTGTTTGCTGAAATTGTCTTTTGCTATTTGTTTATTTATTAATCAAATTTATTGTTTTCCATTATGGTGACTTATTGATAAATTGACCGGTGTTTAAGTTATTTATATGTCTTTCACAAGCAACTTTATATTATACCCAAACTTACGGAGAGAAAATCCACAAATGACCGCGGTCTTGCTCATTGTCATATATATTTTCAAGTGTGAATATGTTGAATCGTCAGAGCATTCCACAAATTTTAAGATTGGAATCTACAATAAAACACTTTTTCCGGATTCTTCGTTTACCGCCAGTAATACATATTCGGGTAAAGCACATTTCAGTAGAATAGAAATTCCTTGGAATGGTTCCTCGTGGCATACCAATAATTACGCTAATGGTTATGTACAAGTTGCTCTTGGTAAATATCCTTTTCCTTTTCAAACAATAGGAAATTCTTAAAAATGTATTTAGTAAAGAGATAAATATGTTGATTTTTTTAATTTAAAGGCAACTTGTACGACATCTACGCACTAGATCTTTTAGGTTCGGCTTTTATTACAAATTCAGTTAATGAAAAATATTACACAAGAAAATTCAAAGTCAAGTACGGCACTGAAGCAAATTCTCTAATTGAATATAAAGAAAATGGCATAGTTGTTGTAAGTATAAAAGTATTCATTTTATTTGTATTTAAAGATATTAATGTGTTTGAAACGAAAACAAGATATTTGACGGTCTAACGGCTGCTACTTGGAATACAACAAAGCGTATAAATCTACCTAATAAAATTTTTTCAACTAAATATTTTCGTATAATTCCAACAAGTGGTCATTATGGATCTGTAAATTTTGAATTATACGGATATCGTAAGTAAATTTTTCATATTATCTTCAAAATATCTCTCATTACCAAATTCATATTAAAACACACAAACTACTTTTACAATACAATAGTCTGACGACTGATTGATATTTTAATTCACTATAGAAACCTACTATTTTGACTGTTATAATTCAATTATTTTCACACTACTATTCAGATTGGACTTGGAGATATTTCAATTAATTGTAGACATGATTATCAAGCGCAATAAACAAATGTATTCCTTTCTCTCTCTCTCTCTCTCTCTCTCTCTGTTACATTAATAACAGTCACTTAATAAATGAGTATGAATAAAATTGTTCAATAAATGCTAACTCATAACACTTGTGAAACAAAATAAAGACATAAAGACTTTCGTTGTGTTTTTGAACCAATAGATGGCTTTACTGTAAAGTGAAGAGTAACTTTTGCGTTTGATTAATTAATTACTCTACGAATATTGTACGACGTTGGCAGACACTGTTCATTGTCGTTAACTTGTCAACGCATACTACAAACAGTAGTAAACAACAGTATTTATTTATATTTATTAAAGATTAATTATAAAAAAATATCTGACTAGATTATGATACAAAGTTGATATAAAAGGATAGAAGAGAAAAAGATGAACGAGTTGTCAACATCTTGACATTGTTTCGCTCAAACTTTGCATAAAATTTCTACGACTTTCAAGTATTGTCACTCTTTTAAAACGCCCAATTTGTAAATCTAATATCGGTACGAATTGATATTCAAAATTATTCTGACCTCCATTCATTATCTTTTGAATGATTTCATTATCCAATTTCCTCTTATTCAATTCCAATTGTTTAATGAGATCTTTAAAGTTTTGTTCAATTTCAGAAAGAAACTTTTCAAAGTTTCCCTTAACAATCGCCTTATAAAGTTTGACATTTTCTTCAAAGCTGTTTTCATTCCTTTCCTTTGCCATAATAAAACTGTCGAATATTGAATTTTCCGAATCGTTTCTTTTAAATCTAGCTATTTCGACGTTTCGGAGAGGAATTAGCACGAAATGTTTCCTCTCCAGCAGACTCAACTTTTGCCTCGCTTGTCTTCTATTAATAGTGCCATCCCACAATTTTGTAACTAGACTTTCGACTTCTGTTATACACATATGTAATTTTTTACTTATATCGTCCGTTAATCTTTCTTTATTTCTTCTTATTTCCTTTCTGACGTTTTCGTAGGCGACGTTGCAATGATTAAGGAAATTCACTTGTTTGTTTGTCAAAGATATTTTGGGTAATTGTCGACTGTCGTCTTTCTTGCATTCGTTAATATTATGATTTAGCATTCCATCTATTAACTTTCCACAGAGGACTCCGTGTATGCTGATTGCACGCGGACTGAGTACGGTGGACGATTCTTTGTTGGAATTTAGGTAGACGGTCGAAGTGGTATCCAGCGATTCTTTATCGCGTCTGCTCGAAGGTAGATTGAGTGTTAGCCAATGATTCACTCTGTCTTCAGACCTTCTCAGTGTGGTTTGTGATTGAGCTCTAGAGGACGCATTTGAAACGGATCTTTTGGAAGCGGAATCTGAAGTATCGGAATTCAAGCAAGTTGGAAAGCCATTCGGACCGTTGAGAGGCCAAACGTGTTGTTTATTACATCGGGGACAAGTGAACGTATTCGAACGATCATCTTTATCACTTTTCAATCCAATAAGGCAAACAAAGCAGAATTTATGATTACAAGGTAAACTTCTAGGATCATTTTCGAAAAGTCTATCAAAGCATAATCCGCATTCCAGTTCGTCGAAAAGCAATAACGAATTCGCCATGTTCCTATATCCCGTAACCTAAACAGAATGGAAAACACGAAAATAAAAGATCTATTGAACTGAATATGATTGAATAGAAAGAAACGAAATATACATTAGACTTTAATCATTAGATTATACGGATAAGTAGATTGTAGAAAATGAAGAGTAAGAAGACTGGATAAAGACAAATACCTAATGGAAAGAAGGGCAGAGAATAGTAGGAGGAGAGAAATAAAAATAGCCAATGACGTCCTTTCACAGACTGGAATTGAATGGAAATTGAACGAAAGGTAAATGTTAGGTAATTGTGTAAATGAGATTTATTTATATGTAGAGGGGTGGAAGAAAGGAAAAATGAATACCAGTCTAATCAATAAATGAATAAATGTATCGATATTACAAGTAAAGTTACTAGAGCGTTGGAATTTTGTTTGCAAAGGGAAAGTATAATTAAAATATTACCAGGAAGAGTTCAATCCAAAAAACACAACTATTCAAAAATAAAGACAGCTCGTCAATTTTACATTATTTCAACTTGTATTAATGTTTTATATAATGATTTATTAAGGCTAAACAGTAACCAACACTCGTAAATATTCTACACGTAACTTTATTAATTCTTTTCCGAAGCTTAGCTCATTATTTAACAATCCAAAAATGACAATAATCAAGATTCGCACATTAATCAAAAGTTTTGTTTTTCTTGTTCATTTTCAATACGCATATAACACAGGCTACCTTTCATCCTTACTATATCAACTTAATTGAACGGAAATGGATAGATGGTATAGCAATTATAAACGATTTGAAGAAATTATTAAAACTTTAGAAGATTCTGTTCCAACATACGAAGAAGAAGAAAGTGCCAAAGCAGAGCTATATATTATATATAACAAGAAATGATCTATTGTCTAATGCTTTTTATTATTAATTCTTCACGCCATTTCTTAATTCCTTCCCATTCTTACAGTCAAAAAGAAAGTTTTTAAGCGGTCTTTAGCCTATGGGAAACAACGTATATCATTCATTATTCCTCTATAATTTACAGCGGCTGTCTATTGAAAAGACTTGCATATTTCACCAAGTGAAAAAGCAAGTTGATTATCGTTTATTAAGATATTACCGTCCGCATGCCAATAATTCTATATGGTTTCAATTGGCGAAACCGAACAAGGCTTAATTGCAGAGTAAAACTAGACAGTAAAGAGTACTCTCTCTGTCTTTCTGTCTGTCTGTCTTTCACACATACGTAAATACATACATACATACATACATACATAGAACGCAATATTCAATATATCTTTTCTATTGGATTGAAAAGTAAAAAATTATGGTTCCACTGAGGATCGAACTCAGGACCTCTCGCGTGTTAAGCGAGCGTGATAACCACTACACTATGGAACCGACTTGTTGATTGTGATGCTAATTAGTATGTTCGATTCTAAACATAGACATATCACATAGCCAACTAAGGCTGTTTGTTATCTAAAAACCATTGTTTGTTATGCAATATAATGCGTATAATCTCTCCTATACGATAATTAGAAAGAGTATAAAAAACGACAGTAGCTGTGAGATGTTTGTTGGAAAAATGAATGGTTAAACGAATCCCAGAGGGAAAGGCTTGAATATACTCGTTGGAGATTTTAATTATAAATTATTTATTATACTTGGAATTTTAATTTTAATGCTTTTTCCTTTGTAAACTCTTTTATTCTTAGTAAAGAAATGCCAATGTAACGAGTTCAATTACTCTGCCCTGATAGTTTGTTACTAATTTCCGTCTGTAATCAATAGCCCAATTATATAGGAGGGTAAATGTGCTATTCAATTGACGTAAGTTGACCAAACCGTTTTGGACGAGTATGGAGCAAATTCAGTAAATGTAAATAAAAAATCCTACATCATTTATAGGAAACCAGAATGACTTTTTAAGCTATCTTTGACGCGTAATAAATATTCTTTATTAATATTTCATTACGATCTTTCTCTCACTAGTCCATGAACCCATCGTAATTTTCTTGGAAATGAACATATACAAATCGCTAAGAAGTCTGCTCTCTTAGCTGAAATTCTCTTTCTGTTAGAAAACCACTTGCAAAGCAAACGCATGTATTTATTTGCCTATCTATATAGAGAGTTTCTTGTTTCGTTTCCTTCTCATAATCACCAATTAGTAAACACCATAGAAATTGGAAGAGAAGGTGACTTTTTATTCCTACTGATCTAGTCTACAACATATAGATTTTGAAACAAACAAGAAAGATAGACTCAATAGGAAAATTGAATATTGATATCTTACAGTGGAAAATATCACGTACATATTGTGTGTTTTAAGAATTATCAACCAGTATTTAATTTACTTATCATTTTGCAAATTAAGAAGAGGAAGAAAAGAAGAAGAAGAAGAAGAAGAAGAGGAAAATGTTCTATGAAATGCTGTTACTTTCTTTTTTAATATTTGCATTGAAAATGAACGTATCTATAGAGGAGACGGGTAAAACAGTCAATTTTGTTATGCGTGATATCATCTCTTTACCACTTTTCTATCTTATTGAATACACTGGGCAGTTGCTATCTGCTTATAGATGCTTCTTTCTTTTTTTACCAGTTTGTATCTATAGAAGAGACCCTAATTATCATATTGAAAGCAATCACTTTATACCACCCGAGTGGTCTGGTGACGATTACAAGTATATTCCCTTGATAGAGTGTAAAGGGATCTGTACACAATATACAGCTTGCAAGTAAGTAGTTTAACATTCTTAACATAACTTAATAAACTATTAGAAATGATATAAAGATCATTAGATCATCATCAATCGTCCAACAAATGCTGGCTACACAATGTATATTCAAGTAGCACATCAGACTACGAACCAGATAATTCTTATGATTTCTATGAAAAATTTGAATGCAGTAAGTAATCAATCAATCAATCTTTAGGTGTCACTTACTCGAGAGAATTTATACACTTTCCATAACTAAACCATCCATCCACCAACATTTTTCATTCTCTGTTTGAGTAATCGTAAGAGTTTGTAGAACAAAAGAAAAAAAACACAAAAATTGAATGGTTCCACTGAGGATCGAACTCAGGACCTCTCGCGTGTTAAGCGAGCGTGATAACCACTACACTATGGGACCTAGTTGCTATTTAAGAAACGTATAGATAACACTACAATTGAGTATAATGAATGCAGGAGCAAAGAGTGTAAAAGAAAAAATGAAAAGTTATCAAAATTGATAATTTCGGGTGTTTTACGGTGAAAAAAAAACCTGATAAAGTAATATTTTGTTTTTTTAAAAAGAAAAAAATAAGTACTTTATCTTTTTTTCTATAAGAAAACAAGCAATTTTCTATAATATTTCTTAATTTCAGCCCGCATTTCTTTTCCTTGTTTTGCCCTTATTACGTCATAATTATAATAAAGGAATAATGAACAACATATCTGGATATTAATGAGGGAAAGATTACATTTGAAATATTGAATTTCATTCAAAGAAATGGACGTGCTTAATACAGTATACATTCTCAACTGGAGAAAGAGAAGAATGTCTCCCGTATCTTTCGTTTCTCTCCCTTTCAGATAACAGCTTGAAAATTCTTACTGAAAAGGATACAATTATAATGCTGGCCAACATCTAATATTGACATTCTCTCGTAAAATTGAACGCCTTAAAAGTATAACGTTGAAATTGGGTCATGTCGTGTAGTTTTTCTCAATTTATCTCTTTAAAATAGTGATAGTTGATATGCTAATTGAACAAAAAGAACAATTTCAGCCGCTCAGTGGCCAACGCCAGCATAGATTTCAAGAAGTAACCTTTTAGCAGTAGCCTTTTATATTGGTAAGGATATGGTCGTTTCTAATGAAATTCTTGTTATTAGAATATTCAAATCATAAAATATTCATCATTGTTAACAGACTATTGTCTACTATTACTTAATACTGTCCATTTCGTTTATTTTGTATATGAAAATAAGACGACATCATGTATCGTTGCCCGGCTAGCTCAGTCGGTAGAGCATGAGACTCTTAATCTCAGGGTCGTGGGTTCGAGCCCCACGTTGGGCGAGTTTTTTTTTTCTTATACAAACACTATAAAAAAAAAATAAAACATTGGTTCCACTGAGGATCGAACTCAGGCCCTCTCGCGTGTTAAGCGAGCGTGATAACCACTACACTATGGAACCATTCCTGAAAATGACTGCTTCTAATTAATCGTACAATTATCATGTATGATTTCAAATATGTCGTTTCATCTGGAATGTCAAGGTTATTCGGGCAGAAAGGAAGATTGAATTTGTTGTCAACATAACGTATACAGTTTATATTTTCTCTATGCACGAAACTGACGTTGACAAGGATCCATATTGGTAGATGATTATTAGTGAAATTTCAAACTATATACAATAAGTAGCCAAAATGAATGGAACAAATAATCTAACGTTAGAGTTTTATTAACGAATGATATTTGAAATTGAAAACATAGTAAACATCGGGCTTTTGACTTGGTAACCTGGTCTGGAATAGTCTCTCCATTGGTCAAGAGCTTGATTATCACTAGTTAATGTTGTAGAAATAGTAAATACTCTTTACTTAGTCGATAGCATAACAATGCTCGGTCCTGAAACATTTCGTTTTCGCTTCGCTAGACCGATACAAACAAATATTGCTCCAATGATACACGATAGAATAAGTAAGCCACCTACGGTACAGCATACGATTACTAAAGGTAGTACCCATTGCAAGTGCGCCGAATCCGACCCACCTTCATTATATTCCCAATATGATAGTTCTAATCCTTTGCGAATAATTTCATGGTTCAACAATTTAAAATAAACAGAAACTTTCGTTTGAGTTGTTAGGAAGAGAGGATCTTTTGATATACACCATTTTCTCATTAATGTCCGTTCAGTATGAGAATAGAATTCTGCATAACCCAACGAACAATTCTTTTTCGCAGTCATATTGCTTATATTCTTATTATCCACCTGTAACACCATGTAATCCATATTGAAAGATATTATCCAACATAATTCAGCATAAGTTGAATTGTTTTGTTTATTGGTACTTAAGTATTCCAACGTTGAAAGTGATTTCACATCAGGTGACGCCTTCAAGTGTGTAGATTTACAGGTTTCAAAAGTGGTAGAAGTAATGACAAGAGTAGCTGAGAAATCATTTCGGAAAGTAGGACAAATTAGTCCTGGTTTTTATCCTGTACAATAAAGTCTACTTACTTGAAAATAGGCTTAAAAAGAGTAGTTTCGTGATCATCTCTCTCCTCCCTGTAAAAAATGCGCATGAAACGAGGTCGGTAGTATATAAAGAAAGGAATGTATTTTTGTGCTTATGTTGTCATAATAAGCCGAACTCTGCATAGAAATAATCAATATTGCTTCCCCGTTCGGGTTTTAGTAATATTGTAGAGTAATATTCAAATCATTGTTGAATGTGAAGTATCTTCACGGAGGGAGAGGATATTTATAACAGTATATATCAGCTTATCCTCGCCAAAGCTTGCACCTACTATTAAAATCCTGTTCCGGTATGAGTCTGAAAACTGGATCGTGTTCTATTCTAGTTATTTTCGATAAGATTTTGCCCACAGCATGTGCAGCATCCCAGTTACCTTCTACTAGTATTTATTGTAAATATAAATGTATTTATAAACTGATTATACTGTATAAAAGTCATGACAGCGAAGTGATAAACTAGGCAACACACAGCTAAAAACTGGAAAAATGCAGCTCACTCATTTTTTTCCAGCTGAATTAATACAAACAATAGTTAAATAATTGAATTGTCACTTTATATGTTAGATAATACGTTTTATATCGGAAATAGAGCATTTCAAGTGCTTCTTTCAATCAGCCTTTGAATATTTTCGTATCATCCTTCATTTTGTAGTACAAATTTTTTAATTATTTAAGAGTTGTAACAATTTCGTAAAAGAAAAAAACTTTAATCTTTTAGATGATTATCATTTGCATTAGGAATGAAAGATTATTTCTTCTATTGGTATATAGAAGGCTGTGCTGTCATTGCTTGATACTGCGGAGGATCGTATGGGGGAAGGACAACTTGTTGATAATCATATTGGTCATTATATGGTGGAGGTCGTTGATTATGGTGTTGAGGATGAAGAGGAGGAGCGACCTGCACTCCATTTTCATTGTTCATATTCATTTGGCGTCCAGTGACCACATGATTCATCACTGGAACAGAAAACACGAACGGAGTTGTCTGAGGAGAAGGCATAATTGTTGCATTAAGACGTCGGGAACGATTATGGTGATGAACAAAACCACAAACAATTGCCGTGACTATTGCAAACACAATAATTAAACAAAGAACTATAACAATAACTACAACAGCGGCAATGGAACTGCTCTTCACATCACTGGATTTATATTTAACGTAGGTTAACTTGAATCCTTTGTATCCAGAATTCCATCCATCAGATTTAAATTCAATAAAGATTTTATTTGTTGTAGATCTTATTCTATTGCCATTCACTGATCTTCCGCAAAATTTCCACAATAGTCGTCTTCTATTAAGTTGATAGAAATCGTAAGCAGCTCCATAGTCCTTTGAACAGTTCCTCGAATATTCCAAATATCCATCGACATTCTTAATCTCAATTTGAGATTTGTTATCAGTTGTTATTAGCCAGCATATATGTTGATTACTTTTATAACCACTTGATAAGTAGTTTGGTGTGGTTATTAGCCTATTTGTTTCAGTTGCAGTCAGTAATTTCAGAACGCAAAAACCATAGCTTTCTGATAGATTTATTAACAGCGCTAAAAACGAAAAATAGTTACATTAGTCTATCTGATTTTTTCTATATAAATCAGTATTCTTACCTAAAATGAATATTGCCTTTAACATTTCCTATTTTCGTTCTTTTTACTAAAAAATGTTTCCAGTTGGAATGATTGTTTTCGATTTCTTATTCGGTAACAGGGCCTGTCTACCAAACAATCGTTGTCATAATACAACTCGAGCCAATTGACGATCAATAGCGCAGATTGATTTTCTTTTTTTTAAATATTCCATTTGAGAATGTAGATGGCATAAAAAATTAAAGAGAGTGATTCAAGAAGTAATAGTCCTACGGTAAAAGATGCCCAGTGTAAAGTCCGCTGCGACAGTAGAGAAGGCTGATATGACAATTTCAATAATTTTCATGAAACTACAAGCATATTAATAAGTAGAGATGCTGTTGATGCAGATGATGATGATGATGATGATGAGGATGATGATGACATGGTCGTTATCCTTCAATTATGATATTTCAATTCAGAATACGGAAAAGAGATGCGCAATAAGTTTGAAAGAAAACTGAAGAATACTTGAAAACTGACTGGCAGAAATACACAAATAATAGAATACATACAAGAATAACGATTATTAGAAAAATTAAGAATAAATAGTAACTTTTATATGATAAATTCCATTGACTTTGTTGTTGTTGTTGTTGTTGTTGTTGTTGTTGTTCGTTTAAATGAATTGAATATAGTGTGCAATTAACGTGAAAAGTTGTATTATGTTCATTGTTACTTGTCGAATTGAAATAGATGAATGCGTAACTATTAGTTGTAATGACTGTAAAGTTGTGTTCTGTTCCACACCATTTCTTCAAAAGTAATGACGATATTGTTTGTCCGTCGTAGATGGCTGCGTTATCTTGAATACAATTTTCAGTCGTTTTCATACGACTCTTTAAAACATTTACCCATATTCTTTCATCCGAAGGAGCGTATATAATCCAGCACAACAATTGCTTAACGCTGGAATTGTTTCTCTGCTTATGGTACTTGTCGTAATCGATGGTTGACGACATAAAATACGGAGTTAGATATCTCATTTCACACAAAAATTCCATAGCAGGAATATTAAGGAGAATAACAGCGAAATAGAACGAAATGGCAAACATAGTTCATTTATCGAAGAGGTCGCGCCTTACTATTCTTTTCATCCACCAATTTTTAATGGAAGAAAGAGAAAATTCGTTGATTTTCTCTTATTAAACTTCCCTGATAGTCTTTTAAAGTTTATGTCCAAAATATTTAAAGGCGACGAATAAAGACAATCGACTTGTTTTATTTTTCTCTTTATTCAATAAATATTGAAATAGAAAACGTATGTGTTATATATATATTTTAATATAGACTCGATAAATAATATTTGTTTATTAATAAGTAAACAACAATCAGATCTATTTGAATTTTGGTACTTGGATTTGTGTAAAAGTATTGAATGAATGCCAAAAGGAAATATAGCCTGTCATTCATTCCTTCTCTCTCTCTCTCTCTCAAACATACGTAGATAACATTGAAAACTAAAATTGTGCAAACTTTAATTAACTATATTCACTACACGGTTTTGTGGAGGTGGTTGGGCAACTACTTGTATTGGTTGCACTGGCTTTGCTCTACAGCAGCAATACCAACATACTAAGAGAAATATTAAACCTGCTACAACTCCAATTCCAATTATAACAAGAAGACGCGTACTGATTGTAGAATCTGATGATGCTGACTTTGACTGTGTTACGATATTACACTCGAAGTGAAAACCTCTGTAGACCAAGAAATCAAAATTCGAAGTGAAAAAGATAACAGCGAAACGACCCGATGTTTTAACGACAAAATTCTCCTCCGTACCACACCATTTCTTCAATTCAGTAGAAGACGACGTTAGGCCGTCGTGTATACTACCATAATCAGTTTCGCAATTAGAATCTCCTTGCAGTCTACTATCCAATACTTTCACTTCTATTACATCTCCATCGGGAACGGTTATCTGCCAACAAGCTTTGGTTGATCGTAGATAAAAGCCTCTATCGTAACCTTCGGTTTTAAGTGAAATCGAGCTAAAAATTTTCGTCAATTATGCTTTTTGCAAATTAATTGTCCGTAGGTTGTAAGAGATGAAATTGATAGAAGAACAAGAACAACAGCAACAACAACTAAATAATGAAGAAAATTATAAAAGTCAAAGTTGTTTGTTATTTCAATAAAGCTTATCTTACGCTCAGAAAGATGCTTTTCCATTCTTTTCTTTCCTTTGCTGACTTTTAGTATACTTTTATAAAAGATTCTTTCTAAAACCGAAGGAAATCTTTCTCCAAGAAACTTTCACGGAAGAAAGAAAGTGGGATAATGAAAATGCAGTACTTTTTTGAACATAGCATCGATTCGGGAAAGGAAAATTTCCTATTTTCGTTTCTAAGTTCAGTGATGTTGTGATGGTTGCTATTACGTTTTTCATTTGAATATTCATTTAAGTTAATAAGCAACAATTTTAACACGAAAGCTTTCTCTTTTAAAAAACGAGCGGTTTTTGGGAAATGATATAAAAGTGAAAAAAAGATGGTGAATATAATTGGCAGAAGATGGAAAGCTAAAGAAAACAGAGTCGTTGACCTATAACAGTTTTGTTAAAGTAACAAAGGCAATAAATGTTTCCTAAAAGTCATTTATAACTTTTAGAAAATGCAAAGTCAAACAAAACAAAGTGTAAAGAATTTAATTCTATTGAGCTTTTGGTTCTTTTTTCTTTTATTCTTATCGATAAAACTGTTTTATTGAATTTGTTTTTCCGTCATTTTCAATATAAGCCAAAAAAGATTGGGTTGGGTGAGATATTTTAAATGTTAACTGAATTGGTTTGTTTGCTTGTTTGTTTGTTTGTTTTGCTTGTATTATATATATATAATTTATTAATCAATATTGATGAAACAATTAGCAGATTGATTGCGTTGAGAGAGAAAGATAAGAAAAGAAAAGAATGAGAAATTTGATTGAACTTAGAGATTTCTTTTATTAATAAAGCGTTTTTTAATTTTCTGTATATAAGATAATCCCTTTTCTCCTTTTTCTTTATTAATATATATATATATAATAATATAAATGAATATATATATAGTCTATAAGTTATTAGCACATATCTTGTAAATATTGATCCTTTTTCAATAGCTAGCTGCCCCAGTCCATGAACTCTATTATGACAACAGTAGTTATGTTTTTGTTGAAATATTCTCTCTCGTTCTCTCGCCTAATCTCTTTTTCTCTCTACTTCCTCTAAAATATAAGTTTTCTCCTTCATTTCTCTCTCTCTTCTTCCCTCTCTCCCCCCTAATTTTTTTGTCATTGCCTAATTTACTTGTATATTGAAAATCTTATTATACACCTATCTATACGGAGAGAGAGCGAGAGAGAGAGAGAGGTTGAGATTAGTACATATATAGTACAGTACACCGACGCTCTATGTGTTTAAGTATTCTTATGGAAGAAAGTATATTTACATAGATATATTGTTATGTTGATACTTTTTTGGTTCTTTTGTATAAATTGTAAGTATCTAATAAAGAATTTATTATAATTAACAAGGTAAAGTTAAATAATTAGTGAATTATTCAAGCTAATTACGCTAATCGATAAAAACACTTGATAATGATTTACGATACATGACTATCAGTAATGCAATATTTCTAAAATGCTCTTATTATTATTATTATTATTATTATTCTACAGCAATATTCGTGTGCTTAGACTGTCAGACAACTTGCGTTCCGAGTATTCTAAAGGCTACATCAAACATAAAAACTTTTACAACTCCTTTCTTTGAGAGTGGAAACTATCCAAATAATATTCTCGTCTGCTGGAAAATCTCGGCGTCTATTAATCATATCATTTCTCTCCGGATTATAGAGAGTTCTATAGAGTACGATAGCAAGTGTATGAACGATTTTGGAGTCGTTTACGACGGTTTCACCACCAGTTCAAAATTATTAGCAAAATGGTGTGGGTCTGACGAAAAGTTCGAATTGAAAACTAGCTCCAACTCTGCTTTAATTGGATTCATATCCGATGAAAATGGTGTCACGAGGAAAGGTTTTAAAATTGAGTATGTGGCATTATCGTCATCGGGACAGGATGACGGTGGCTTAACGACGGCTGTTATTATAGTTTTAGCAATTATTTGCTCCGTAATTGGCATCGTAATGATCATTATATGCGTTATAATATTCAGCTGTATATTTGGTTGCTGTAGCACTGTTAGTAGCAATCGTCAACAAGTTATGCCTATATCCGATAGACCAATAGTACGCAATGGCCCAGATCATGTTACTAACGTTCTTCCAATAGCTCCACCGGCTTACGACGAACTATACAATAATTCTAATAGTATTAATAACAACAATAATAATAATAATATTAACCAGCCAACCGATGCTCCTCCTTCCTACGAGGATTCCGAACAGCGTAATAATACAATAACAACTATAACATGATTGATTATTTAACTGTGTAATTGATTGAGTTTTTCATAAAAAAAAATAAATAAACACTTGAAATTAAAAGAAAGAGATTTAATTTTCTATGCAAATTATATTCAATTTGTTGAAAAGATTGAATTGAATGATCTGGAAAAGGATCGTTCGAATCGCATTTGTACAAGTAGTATTATATTCGTCAAACAAATCATTCCCATTCCTTCGTAAACGATACGTTTGATAATAGCGTTTTTGAACTGTGTATTATTATCTTTGAAAGGGTTAGATACGATTAGAACTAAAAAGTTTTTTTCAACTCTAGAGACACCGTAAAAGTAAAACTAAATCCAAAAATCAGGTTCTATTCACTGTATATCGCTCACTCAAGAGGCGAAAGAGAAAGAACATGTCATCGAATTGTTTGAGAAATCAAAATCTCCTATTAGCCGGATTATCATTTATGGGCGAAGATTTAAGCGATTTTAATACGTTAGAAGAAGAAATAAAGGAAATATCTATATATAAAAGTCCAATATCCATCCTAACGGAATATTCTCAATGTACGAATAAACCTGTTGATTACATCGAAATGGACAGCTTTTCATCAACATGGTTAGATTTACAATAATTCTTTAATTATATTTTAAAGTAGAAACTTTTTATAGCAAAATAAATAATTTCATTTTTTCCTCCTTGCTCTCTCTCTCTCGCTCCCGCTCTTTCGCTCTCTTCCTCCTCTCCATATAGCTATATTTACTGCGTTAAAATAGAGTCTAGATTCTATCGAAAAGTTAAAGCGTCAACAAAAAAAGACGCTAAACAAGGTGCAGCGTTGTTAGCTTGGAAAAGAATTATTCGAGATCTAATGGATGAGGTAAGACTTTTGGTTTTTACAATCAATTGCAAATGAATAGCGTAAATCCATTTCAACGCCAGATAGAAGATAGGAAGAGAGAATGCAACTTTGAAGAAGCAATTGTGTGCGAAATTCATAAGAAATTCTTGGAAATGTGCATTGTAAATCCGAATATAAGCTTTGGTAAAAAGGTCGTTGCCGGCTTCTATCTAAAGGGAAAGAATAGCGAAGGATCAGTCATAAGTATTGGTACGGGTAATAAATGCATTTCGTCGCAATATCTTACATTAAAAGGTGAGTGTCTATTGGATACACACGCCGAAATAATAGCCAGAAGAGGATTAAAAAGGTAAAGTAGACCTAAGAGATAAAGCAGACCAATTACAATGCAAACGCAATAAAAACGCTCCCGTACAAATAGATATTTCATGGAAGAAATTGATAATTTTTACAAGAATAAACCGTCGATTTTCGTTGAAGAAGGCGCAAATCTAAAGATGAACAATAATTATTCAATTCACCTTTACATTTCGTGCGCGCCTTGCGGCGATTCGGCAATATTTCCGAATGGTTGTAGTTATGATCCTAAGGTAAGTAGCATTGGCATTATTAGTATTAGTTTGTTCTACATAGATAGCTAACCGTCGTTGAATGATCGCTTTACAGGTTCACGGACTGCTAAGAACAAAAATTGAAGCAGGAGAAGGCGCCGTTTTAATAGAAGAAAATTATCAACAATCGCTATTGTCTTTAAAATTGGGAAAACGTCTAAGAATTATGAGTTGTTCAGATAAAATATGTAGATGGCTTAATATTGGCTTACAAGGCTCATTGTTGTCTCATTTTCTTCGACCAGTTTACTTGGAGTCGATTATCGTTGGCGAAAAATACTATCCGGAACATTTAAATAGAGCTTTAAATGGTCGTAACTTTACAAATTCCAATTCTATTAGAATTCATCATACGGATATACAAGTACCATTTTATTATTCTCGTTTAACGCATATATCAGTAAACTGGTATAAAACATCTGATTGTATTGAAATAATAGACAGTCAAAGTGGTCTAGCAGTTGATAAACAATCTTCAAGGTTATCTAAATGCCAAATATTTAAGCGTTTTAGTCAAGTTTGCGAAGATTCGAATAGGCAAAAGGTGTTGGGTGAAACTTATAAAGATACAAAGGACAATTGCCTCTCTTATTCTTTAGCTAAAAAATTTCTCTACGATAAATTTGTAGAAAATCGATGTGGTACATGGGTTCACGCTCCTTCTGAACTGTCAATTTTCGCCTTAGAATAGTCAATATTGCGCAATATTTCACTCTGTTAAATGAATATCGTCTACTAATTAAACTCAAAAACTTGAAAAAAGGTAAAATATTAATGAAAACTGTTAAACAGTGTCTCTACTGTCTGTTATATTTTTGGTTAATAATTTATATTTAATAAACTGTTTAGTCGTTCTATCTTTATGATATTTCCTTCCAAGAGAATTTAAACAAACGATAATATGTCGGGAAATATCCTATTAAATCTTATAACATTGTATATTTCTTCAAGATGAATTATGTTTTGAAAATTGGCGGGAAACACGTTAGGCGAGTTGTTTCGTTTTCCTCTTTCTGGAATTATCGCTCACATGTCATTTCTATAGCGCAGGCAACGAAAATATGGTGAATTTTACAAATTGAAAATCGTAATTGTGGCAGAAAGCCATTAGTAATAATTAAAAAGAATTAAAAATGTTCACTTATTGGATAATCGTTGGAATAGTACGAATTTATTTAACATTAAAGACCCAATATGGATATATACACCCTGACGAATTCTTTCAAACATCTGAAATTGTTGCTGGTTTGTTAAAGTTCTACAGAAATATTTCAATAAATCAATCAATTACGTAATAATTTCTATTGTAGGATCGATTTTCAACATTGAAACGTTTACGGCATGGGAATTTAATTCAACTTTTCCATTGAGGACAATAACTGTGCCTTACGCAATATGCGCACCAGGTTTAGTATTTTTAGTATAAGTTTCCGTCTAGGTTGTATGATCTAGAATATCAATTTGTTAAGGCGAGAGAAAGAGAAAGAGAGAGGAAAACAAAAGAGAATTCTTCTCTTTTCTCTCTTTAAAAAAAGAATGTTATAGATATAATATCAGTTTACATAAACTCTTATATTTACACTATATATATATATATATATATATATATATGTCGATAAGTATATTCAAATCTTATTCAACTTGTTATACTATTCGTTGTTCAAGAGTACAATAACAAATAGACTAAAAAAGTCAATGGTTAGGGTCTTTAGCTCTTCTTTCTCCTTCAAAAATGTCCTTTTTTACTTTTTAACCTTTCTTGTATTTTTTATATAAACAAAAAAATCTGTTGTTTGTTATTTCTTTTAAAAGAAGAAAGCATTCATAATAAGAGCAACATAGGCAGAGAGAGAGAGAGAGAGAGAGAAGAGAAACACCAACCTCACTCAGCGTTTCTTGTGACCTGAGTTAACTATTTATATCACGTTTTATCTCTAAAATATCCTTTCATTACGTAACTATATATGCAATATATATATACACACCACATGATTTTGTTTTGTACAGGTTTCTACTTGTTGAAATTTCTAGGTTTCAACAATCCATCGACTTATCTGTTGGTTCTATTGCCACGTCTAACTCTATTAGTATTTAGTTTCTTCGGTGATGCCATAATTTATTATATTGGAAAAAAGTTTAGACTAAACGCTTCAGCTTGCGTTATAACGTATGCCACTTCTTACGTAACGATTGTCTTCTATACAAGAACATTTACGAACACGTTTGAAGCTCTTTTGTACTTGGTATTCGGCAGTGTTCTATCAAGGTAAGGCTAAATTAGAAAGAAAAAAGACAAAGAAAATCAATATACCGGCGACGACGAGTGCTTAATATCTTCTTTTCTCATTAAAGGGAATTTTCGCCAGTCTTAACAAGATCATTTTCAAAAAAGAATCTATCCAGATTTAGAAATGAACGGAAAACTCCTTCGACAATTGTCAGCACTGGTCTTTTACTTGGCGTAATAATGGCTTTGGGATTTTATAATAGGGCAACATTTATCATTTTTGCACTTATGCCTTTCGTTATATGGCTTACTTCCGATGATTTTCATAATATGAAAGAGCTTTGGGAGAAGAGTGCCCCGAAATTATTATCTACAATTTTCTCTGGAGTTTTAACCAGTTTATGTATATCCTTATTAGACACTTATTACTACAAAGGATTAACTCCGCTGGATTTGATTGCTAGATTAATTGCTAACGGATTTTATCAAGTAATAATTGGGGATATGGTTAATGTTCCGTTGAATTTTATTACTTATAACGTTCAACCAACAAATCTGGCAGAGCACGGAATTCATCCTCGACTAACGCACTTTTTCGGAAATACAACCCTACTCTACAATGTATTAGCCTTTTATCCGCTTTTACACTCTTATAGAATATTTACAAAACGAACGAATTCATCGAAACGATACGAAATGCCAACAGTCGGAGAGAAACTGTTGCTGATATACTATATCCCAATTTTATTGTTATCCGTATTCCCTCATCAGGAAGCGAGATTTCTCATTCCTCTTTTACCACTTTTATGCTTTCTCTACGGTAAAACGATTAGTTTAGAATAGCTTTATTATTATTATATAGATATGTAATATCTGTTTTTTTTTTCGTACCCTTATTAGGTCACAAGTTATTCGGAGAGAGTTCACTATCTCGTTATATATGGATTATATTCAACATTTTAGGGACAGTATTTTTTAGTCAGTGCCATCAGGGAGGCGTTGTACAAGCCTTGGAATATGTAAAAATGTCTAATTCTTCAGGAGCGTTACTTTTCTGGAAAACCTATATGCCGCCAAGACATCTACTCTTTCAGAATGCCAGTAATCCACAATTGAAGGTAATAGATTTGATGGGATCAAGTCAACAGTTGGTTCACGAACAAATCAATAGATTAACTTTAGGAAAGCATCCCATAAGATTGGTAGCTCCATCTACAATTGATATGAATTTTTGTTCAAGAGAGTTTAATTGTAAAATAGAAGAGAAATTCTTTCCTCATGTGACAATGGAGAATTTTCCCAGTTTACATAAATTATGGAATCTTTGTACGCAATCTAAATATTCGTTAAACATTCTAAAATGTTTGAAGAGTGAATTTTCATTAGTCGTTTATAATTTAACAAAAAATTGACGGTCTATATCGTAAAACCTTCATTATGCTGTTGTATCAGTATAATTGGCTAAATATATTTTAATTATGCGATATTACTAATAACTATTAAAGGAGTGTTTGAATATCTCGGCAGAGATGCGAAAGATAAACAACGAAAAATACCGGAAGTATATTTTAAAAAAATATATTTACACTATAATTGGTATATACTGTAAACAGTGTACTGTATCTGTTGTTTTGTTTATAGATTACATAATCTTAACTGTGTCGCATTGTTTATCTATTCATCGTTTATTAATTATGACGGACTGTTTTGTTTACATCGCTGGCCTCTCTTCTCTTCTCCTCTCTTCTCTTCTCTATGATTATGCAACTTTTTCTAGCCTTAATCAAACATTTGGTATTGTTTTGAAAGAATTTTGAAAAAAAAATACAATTGATTGATTTGCCGTTAAAAAGAAGTAAATAAGTAAATTATTCATTAATTAACTAAATTTCCAAGTGAAATAAAAGAGAATCAGCTTTTTATAAAGTATTATCAACAATTAAATAAATACTGTATATAAAACTGTGTTTAAACTACGTGTTGACTTATGAATAATTCAGATAAAAACGAACGCCACCTATCTGATATATAGAGTGAAAGGTCTCTTTTTTTACTTTTTTTTATGATTTTGTGCCTTATCTTATCATATTAGCAGATTGTTTGGAATAAAGTAAATGCTCACGTCGGTTGGTTTTATAAGTTGGCCGTAAAAGTAGAAGGAGAAAATGCGTTTTTGTTTAAAATACCAAGTGATTTTCATACTAACAACGATTTTCCAGTTAAATTCATCAAACGATAACCAGTGTCCTTTACACTGTAGTGTATATTGCGAATGTGTCAGATATAAAAATGGTACGCATGCTTGCCGTAATTGTGAAATAGGAGAGACTGATCTTTCAGACAAGCATAACGAGTTTGGTACACCATACCGTACGACGGAAACTCCTAAAGCCGTACCCACAGGTAAATAGTTGACATTGGCTTTTTCACTAGACTTATTTATTTATTTATTTATTTATTTATTTATTCATTCATTCATTCTTTCATTCTTTCATTTAGAAAAATTATTATTACAACCTGGTGAGGAGGAAATTATTTCGTATAATCCCCTTAAGAATCCCGTATCGTCGTGGAGGGTTGAGACGTCATCCAATGAGAGTAAATTATCTATTCTAATGAACATTACTGGCTCTGGTCCAATAAAGAATTGCCCAAAAGATTTGATTGAAATCTACGATGTACACTTCGGGCAAGAGTTTCGTTTTTGTCCATGGAATATAACAAATTCCAAAAAGTTGTACGGTTCCTCCATTCAAGTTTCGCTAAATTGTCAAAGTGGAAATTACAATAAGGATACGACACTTAGTATAAAATTTATAGGAATGACTAGTTGAGTATTTGCAGTTGAAAAATGCTCAAGTAAATAAACGTTACCTTCTTTCAGCCAACTCGAGTAAGAACTTGAAAACTGTTGATAAACTATTAATCGTTATGGCGTGCGTTTGTATATTCCTATTTATTGTCTTTCTAACTGTCGCCATACTGGTTATAATTAAATTTAGACAAAATGTAAGTAAGCCTACATTATCCTATATTATCTTCCACAATCGAAATAATGTTTGTTTATTTATTTTTGTTTGAAAACTGAAATGAATAGAGATTGGCTAGGCAAAGGCAGCAAAGGGCTAATAATTCTACAACGAATAGAAATTCAGCCGAGCAGTCAAACGGTAAGTTATTAATAAATAAAATTAAAAGACAAGTATTAAGATTGAGAGTAATAGGACTATCAAAGTTTATTAGGTCTTTATTTTTACCTATTTTTCGAGTAGTTTTAAATAATAAATGTAAATCGTTTATTGATTATTTTCACTCTTTAAAATCAAGGACAATGATTCTTAATCTAGATAATTTTTTATTTGTTCCTATTCCTTCTTTCTATCCATCTATCTATCTATCTATCTATGTATCTATCAACCTGTCATTCTTTCATTCTTTCTCTCTTTCTCCCTTTCTTTATTTTTTTATGGGTTATTGCTATTTAAGTCAATTATTTATTATATTTAATCCAAAATCCAGGTCCATCTATATCAGTTATTAGTCCGCCTTCGTACGACACGATCTGCGACCAACCACCTACTTTTCTTGATTATATGCCCGAAGAAAAACCTCTACCGGGTACTGCTCCACCCGCTTACGCCTCGTTTCGTTCTAATCAACAAAGAACTAGACAACCTAAGAATGTTATTAATACGCAAGCATCAACGGAGGCCTAGTTAAAATGACTAAAACACTACCGCGATTAAAAGACAGCATGATATTATTTTATACTATCTCTAAAAAAAAGGAAAGAAAGAAGGGAAGAAGAAATAAATAATAAGCAAACGAATAGCTGGAAGAAAGAGAAGAAGCGTCTAATTCGATGGTTGTATAAATCTGCGTCTTTTTTCCTTTCTGTCTCAATATTTTTATATCGTCTGTGCGCATCAAACAAACATCCTCCTTCTTTTGTATTCAAAAGTATATATAATGTATAATAAACAAGACACACTTTTCTACTGCACCTGTCTATTTTCAATAAAAGTCTACTTGAACAAGACAACGACAAGATGAAAAGTACCTTTCTCTATGAATCATTATAGGCCTATAAGAAAAAAGACCACAATAAAACAACAAAAACGAAATAAAATGTCAACTATTTGTCGACGACGACAAGTACAAAGAATATATACTAATATATATGTATAAATAGACGAATAGGCATGATCTTCTTATCATCTTCTTCTATTGATTTACTTGTAGAGTAAAAACAATTTTAAACTTACAATGCACTTATTTATAACTTTCATCTCGCCAATCGAAAGATTGTTATTTATCAATGTGAAGGAATTATTAGTTAACTGTATAGGCCCTAATCTGATTAGTGAAAGTTTCATACGATTTACGTCTTGTCTCTTGCTGAAACCAATTGGTAATTTCCAATTTTGCCTTTTATCCATAAACAAAAAATCAATTACTATTGCAGATAGCTGTTATCATTCGTGCATTCTTATCAATCTTATTATAATATGATCCTTCAGAATACTACGAATAGATGTAGGGTGACGCCCTCTGCATTCTATAAATGTATAGGCAATAGTAATGGTAAGTTGATCGAATTAAAGTTTAGTAGACTGCTTTGTGAAGGAGAATAAATATTAATTAATATTTTTTGAATGAGAGAAAAGAACAGGGTCTAAATAAAGAGATTTAATGAAGAAATGTTCAAATTTTTCCCATTTTTTATTGATAGAGAAAACAACAATTTGTCGGGGTTATTATAAATATTATAATAGATATCAAATAAATATAACAAAAAGCTAAAAGAGAGAGAATTTATCTTTATTCAAGCAAGAGAGAGAGAGAGAGAGTTTCTTCTATTTATTCAACAACTTCTTATCTCGTTCCTTTCTCTTTTCTTTACTTGAAAACGGAAAGAAAAAGTTGAAAGAAACTAAAATAAGGCAATAAAAAATTTAATTATTATTTGTTGTATTTGTATTTTATATCTAAGGAAAGATATATGAATTGTTGGGCCTAGGAGAATTATGAATATTGGCAGAAATGCTTGCTCAAACAAGTTTGCTGCTCTGTTAGTTCCAATCAATAGGCAGCACGTTCATTTGCGCTGCATTGATTATACACATTGCCTACGTACCGGTATATTCATACACACCATAAAGTAAGTTATTACATTTCTTTCAATTTTTACCAATTGAGCAATAGAATAGATTGTTGATAAGCAATAGATTTCACTGATTTTAGTTTCCTAGAATGCATTGACGGTTCATTTTCTTTTATGAGAGGGAGAGAGAGAGAGAGAGAGAGAGAAAGAATTTATGTTAGGATGATCAAGTAGGAGACAAATACTTCTTCTAGCTTAGTAGATTTATACCGTATTTTGCAATGAACTGTTATGTTTATATACATAGCATATTTATTTTCGAATAAGAAGAAAGCAATGACTCTCTCTCTCTCTCTCTTCGCACCTTTTATCTTGACACAAAACGTTTTTTTATTGTTGGTCCAAAATGAGACTTAATAAATAATTGAATTGGATTAGTTAAAGCGTATATTCAGTTGTTATAGGGTCTTATTCTGTTTGTATATACCTTTTTCTCACTTGTTTGATTAACTTTGCGTGGAATTGTCATTTTTTTTCGCCATACTTGATAAATAGATATTTTACTTGGCTTTATCTAAACGTTCAAAAGGAGAGTAATAGAATCTATATATTTATAGTTTTAGAAATTTCTATAGCTTTCCGTTACTTCTGTCTCTCTCTCTTTCTCTTGTCAGGCAGCCTACTACTCTTATCACAGAGGATTAATATCCTAATTTTTTATTTAGTTTTTCTTCTATTCTACTCCTCCAAATCCGAATTATTGAACAGAGATCGTAGTCAATTTAAATAAAATAGGCTTAGAAATTGAACAAATCTTTATTTATTTAAAATCTTAGCCTTCTCTCAAAGTTAATAATATTTGAGCTCTTTTGGTATTTGGTGTTGAATTTTGTATGTTTTATATACACTAATATATATATAAATATATATACAAGTATAAGCTTAACGCTTATCCTCTATAGCTGCTCCCTCTGGATATTTATTAAAAATATCTGAATGGTATTTCATGTCAAAATAAGACAATAAGCGAGAAAAAAGAAAAAATTTGAATAGACTAATAAAAAGGGACCGTTAATCCAGGAAATAGTTTATTATAGCCTATATTCTCTTAGAAGAGAAAAGAAAAGATATATGTCTTTGAATTGTATGGACATTTTGTTCAAGTCTTAAAAAATGGTATAAATAAATTACTATATAAAATATACGTTGTGTTGTATTTGCCTTAAACATAATTATAGCATTATAATAGACCTTTTTAGTTGTTTTGCTGTAGTAATACATCTTTATGTATTTCCATCTTTTGTGACGTAATATAAACAACTTTTATACGCTATAACATAAAAAATATTGAACAATTGATCTCTTTAATTAGTTACTCTTTTTTTTCAGACAATGCTCTATATACTGTATACAACTTGTTCGATATCTTTTTTCCTTTCTTTCCTTCCTTCCTTCCTTCCTTCCTATCTTTCTTCCCTCCCACTCACTAAGTCAGTCAGTCAGTCAACTTTCTCGCTTAGTCTTTCCCTCTTCCTCCATACCTCTCTTTCGCTTTCTCTCCGTCCTTCTGGCAAAAAGATTGTTTAAATTATCTAATGCTCTTCTCCTTACAGACTGTCAACTGGTATTTATGTCGACATTAATTGATTGCGATTTGGAAGGAGGCGACAACAATTTAGAATCCTGGCTCAATAAGGCACCGGAAAGCATACCAGTACAGATTGAGCCTGAAGAAGTGCCTTTAATTAATCTTGACGAGTCTTTTGACCCTTCTAAACATCAAAGAGTAGAACTAGTCAAAAAGGATGTTACTACCACTAAACAGATACATATACGAAGAAAATCTGTATCTCCCGTATCTGTGTCAATTTCTCCTATAGATTTCAATCATAGAAAGTCTACACCCAATTCGCCTCTGTTCGATCACGAAGTTCCATGGCGAAGTAGTCTAAAATATCCGGAATCGCCTCTAAACGCAACGTACGAAAGTATTAAGCATTCAAAACCGAAATGGAAGGATATAGATCTCGATGATATTCCTAGACGATATGAAAATCACTCTACTCAAACTCCACTTAGGGTCAAAGTTGATTCGAGTGTCGTTTTCGAAGATGGAATCGATGTTTTAAAACATAGAGATTTTTCCACTCAAACATTTGGCCAGTTGCAAACAGTCAATCATTCTAATGTTCAAACGCAAACGGCCGAATTCGCCCTAGTTAAGGTTTGTATTTTCTTGTTGTTTTCTCTAGCTGTTACCCTTATTCAAAAGCTTTAGTTCATTTATATTGAGTACAATTTTAAAGTTCCATTCTCCCTTCAAATTATACAACTATACAGTATATACATTCCTAATACTAATTATCTTTCTTTATTTCTCTCTCCCTCTCTCTCTCTCTCTCTCTCTCTCTCTCTCTCTCTCTCTGTCTGTCTATCTCTGTTTCTCTATCATCTTCGCTTTTTTGTGTTCTCATTTAGGAGTACAAGCCAAGGAAAAATGGTCTTCAAGAGGAAGAAAAGACGAAAACTCGTATTCCTGCTCCTTCTAAGGACTCGACTAAAAAGAATTTAATGAAAGTCATGCTCAATCAGATAAGAGATTTGAAATCTCAAATGAACGAAATGGATCCTGAAGCTATTAGAGAACTTAAAAAGAAAAGGGAGAAGAAATTAACTAAACCTTTAAAGGATTTAGAAGAAAACCAAGAAATCTACAGTAGAAGAAGATTAGATCTTATGAACAAAACTCCTCTTTATCATAATCCAGGCGGTTACGATAAATCTGGATCAATTTTCTGTACTCCATTTAGACCTCCTTTCCCCCGCCCTAATCAACCCATTATTAATTACAATGACTATGGACCGAGGGCTTTTAGACCGCCAAGTCAAATAACGGCTCCATCCGCGCCAATGATTTACCTACCTCCTCAAAATCACAATAATCACGGACCTAAAGTATCTCAAGTCTTAGTCATAGCTAGTCCTCCACGAAAGCAGGACGACGACTGTTCAACATGTACGTCATGCTCTTGTTCAAGAAGATGAAGACTATTTGTCGTTTAATAATCTTTTTGTTACGTTACCTGCTTCTTGAATAGCGGCTCTTTTTTTCTATTTTCTAACGATGGTAAGTGTAACAAGTATATAGTGTTTAGGATAATTAGATAGGAGAAGTAGGGAGATATAGTAGAAATGTAGAAAAATTTGAAAATAGTAGACTAAATGGAGATTTTAGAGAGGGAACTGTTGTTGTTGTTCTTGTTGTTTAAGAAGAAGAAAAAGAAGAAGAAGAAGAAGAAGAACGAGGGGAAAAAAGTAATTTATTCGATAAGCAACTATCGTTAATTACAAAATGAAAAAGTTTGTTATAATTCAAAAGTAAAAACATGAATAACAAAGAAAAAGGACAATAAATAAATTAAGTGAAATTATTCTATCTATTCATCATTTCTTCTTCATCACATATTATTTAAATGGAATAATAAAAGCTGTTGTTTGTTGGTGTCTCTTCTCTTTTTTCCTCTAATCGAATATATTAGAAAGTACACGTATTTGTTTTCATTTGAAGTAATTAAAGATTATTTTCAATAGATTTACCAGATAAGCCTCTCAACATAGATTATTCAGAGAAATCTTATCATTTAGTTCAGAAAAGCAAAAACACGTTTAAACCTTACACCGACTATTAAAACTTTTATATTCCATATAAATTATTCTATTCAGTTATAAATATCCTCTACAAATTTAGTTTATTAATTGCTTTTGTTGTCATATCACCAAAAAGTCCCATAAATATATCAATATATATCGTAAACCATCGAATAAAATACCACCTTCTTCATATAGTCAAAATACAATGTATTACAGTTTATGCATCCTTTTCCCCTTCAGCCATCTTGTTTTTTTTATTTTCATAAATATTTTGTTTCCTTTAGCCATTTTTCTAAATCCGTTTCGTCTGATTAATTCATTTCATTACTCTAGATAATTTGCAAAGTTAACTCTTCAAATTCGGAGAATAGACATCTTTGTATGAGAATTGTTTTTCTATAAATCTGAAAATCCAAATAGAATCTACTCTTGATAGTGAGCATTTTAGTTTTCTGGCATTCACACACATACACGCAAACTCTCTCTTTTTTTTCTCTCTCTCTTCCTCTTCAATGAAACATTTGACTGTACAATTTTGATTCTATCGTTCAGAGTGCATAATAATAAAAATATTCAAGTGACACATGTTTGTATTCTGTATGAAAAAGAGAGACAACTAAAATGGGAGTAGTAGATTTAATTATGAATGTTTATGTTTATTTCAAACATCTGTTGACTGTCTATTCATGCGAACAAAAAAATTTTGTTCAATCGTTTTATAACAACAAATGAAAGTGAAAAATATTCAAACCTCCAAAGATTTTACTTTCCTCTTATGAAACTGTCTACAACAGCCATTCTATAGTTGAATATTATTATTATATAGTCCTTGATCTTGATTGAATGTAGAGACTTCGATTCAACACTCAACACCTTCGAGTGGGAAGAGAGAAAGAGTGTGAATATAATAATGAGATTTTACTTGTATCTATAAAGATTATCTTTAACCTTATTGGGTGATTTATTGAACCAGGTTTAATAATAGTTTTATGGCCTTTAAACGCTGAAGAATTAATAAATCCGCAAACGGAAGATGCTCAACAAGACTTGTAGAATAAGCCTGGCGTTAGGTGAAATTTTATTGAATGGGTTAAGTGTTTTTTAAACAATGGCCACTCTTCGGCTACTACGAGAATGGTTTTTAATGTCATGATTCGCGACAAGCTAAATCAGACGCTTAACCTCATTAATGAAAACGACTGGTTGTACATTTTTACTGAATCATAAATGAAAATGGATCCGAAATTATGAGAATTGAAAGAATGCGCACCGCCGCCAGGTGGACAGGATGACAAAGAAAAAATTGAAAAATATCTATTTAATTGATTTACTGGATTATTTTTCACAAATAATATTACCTAATTAATTAATGGTAATTTATTCATGTAATAGCTACATAATTTAAATATTAAAATTACAAATTAGAATATCCTATCATTTAAATAGAGAAATTTTCCAATTTCCAAGTGTTCAATAATCGTCGTCCAATTCAATTTTTCATGAATGAATTATTGAACAAGCGGATTTCATTGTTGAATTATCGAATGTTCTACTAATGAAAAATTACACAAGGATAGAGAAGGAAAGCCTTAAGAATATTGAAAGAAACTGTTTTAAAGCGTCTAACAAGAATAATTTAACGTTACTCTGTTCAATAAATATACGAAAATGTATTGAATTATAAAACTGGAGATTTGAGCTAAAAGGGAATGAATTTCTGAAAAGCAAGCATACACTTGTCTTTATATTGAACAGAAGCTTTCTTATCATTCATTTACATCTTATCAGTATCTGAATTATTGAGGAGAGTTATTTTCAGACACGCGACTCCTTCAAATTCCAAAAGCGAAAAGTTCATAACAAAAGCGACGAAATGAATATTCAGAAAAGAAGAGAGGGGCGGAGACAAAAAGCTATTTTGTAAATTTTTCAATTTATTTTGTCGTTTCTTATTTGCTTCTTTAACTGCAAAAATTCAAAGGCAGAAGAATGTATTGAGTGAAAAATCTGTGCTAAAAGGCTCAGCTATTTCTTACCAAAAACCTTTTCCCATTAACCTTTACCGTTTGAACAGGGGCAATTGGGCCTATAGTCTGCATTCAATTTTTATTCATTTTTTTGATTAAATCCAACAGCAGACTAGTTTGGGGGAAATAAGCGGATTTGAAAAAGATCATTTTCCAGTTTAAACGTCTTTCCAAGTGAAAGTAAAGATATACAAGTTGTAATAAGATACTGAAGGGTAAATGAAGGTTATTCAAAAATAGTTTAATCCGTTTAATTACTTAACAATCGTGAAAACATTGAAATTTTTCACTAAAATTAGAGAGAAAAAAAAAGTTAAAGTATGCCGTTTAAGCCTAAATGTCCCAGACAGGCCTTTTGTTTTGTTGATATAGGTCGAGATAAGGTACAGAGTATGAGAATAGATAGTCCTTCTAAGACTTTTAAGAGGTAACAAGTAAACTATCAGCAGAGTGATAATTAACCAATTAAAATATTCAAAATAATAATTAATTATATTAAAATTTATACTATAAGCTTTACTGTTATATAACATAAGATACAATTTGTTCGCAATGAATATTACAATCAAGTATAATTTAAATACTTTATGAATAAATTCAAATTGAAGAAAAGTGAATTCGAAAAATTCACCACGATCAAAGGTGTATTGCCCGAGAGTGGCGTGTTTTCTATATTTAGTATACTTTCTATATATAATTACAGTATATATATATAACATGTGCATATTTCGCCATGATGACTTGCAATGTTACATTAAATTCAATCATGTTTAGTTAATTTTAATGAGAATGTCATTAATTAGTAAATTGTTTCTATTTGCTTTTTCAACACTATTCTCAACATTATTTCAATCGTCAGTAAGTCTCTTTCTACGAACGTAAAACACCTGTAAAGATATTTGTGCTAGTTACATTCTATTTGAGTGAAAATAAAAACAAAGCGTTTGTTTTTAACTGACTATTCACTTGTTTGTGAGTTTATTCATTCATTTAATCAATGATTAAGATGACAAACACATAAATATACACGAAAAGGGAATGAGGGACATGAGAAGTGGATGAGGAAAAAAAATGATGTTCAATAATCTTGAATCTTGAATTCGCTTTTAGAATGCAGAAAGTTGTTTTTCTCATATTTTAAATATAACAATTATTAAATCATTCGTAAATTATCATACTTTAAATGTCATTTTATGCTTTTACACTGAAGAAATTATTATAGTCATTAAATGCATTCTTTACAACATTGTCACTGAGGCCGTATTCTTCCAATGTATACTTTGCTTTTGCTGTTGAATTCCTATGTCTCGCCAAATAAGCCGACATGGTCCTTTTAACATCTTCGTCAAATTTTATATCCAACTGCTTATAGACGCTCTCCATTGTTTTTATTGGTTCTTTAACCAAATCTTTAAAATGAACATCGATGAAGCGTTGAAATCCTTCTGCTTTTAAATTATCATCTTTTCTCATACTAATTAGCTTTTGCGTATCTAATTTCATGTAATTAAGCAAGCGTCTACCAACTCCAATCTTATCCGAATCGAATACTCTATGACAGGCTTTAATATTACAATGAATTAGGGCGCAAGCCGATTTCATTGTACTAACAGAATCCCTGTGTATTGTTATAATTTGAGCATCGGGAAAAGCCTTTAGAAGTGATGGAACGTTAACTGAACTGGCGTGGATCATGGTTAATAACCTTCTATTTTCCATATCTGAACAATAGAATGATTAATAATTTAATAATGGAAAAGAGGGAGAAAGGAAGGAAGGAGGGAAAGAAGAATGAATGAATGAAAGTAAAGCTTACCGCTATTTTTACAAATCATTTTTAGTCTAGTTCTTAAATTTTCGTCAAATTCAACTTGTTCATTCCATTTTGGATTTCTTATATAATTTGTAAAGTCTTTTTCCAAACTACTGAACACCAATGCAGATTGAACAAAACGAAAATCGCAATGATAGAGGAAAAGTAAATCTTCGGGAGTACGAACGTTGAAATTATGAGTATTCTTCACGTCATTCCAACCCATGAATACCGAAGTTAGATCTATTGAAAAGGAAAGAAAGAAAGAGAGAGAGAGGGATATTATCATTATGAATTTCTTGAAAACTTGAATTATCCTTACCCCATTTTAATTTACTTTCAGAAATTCTCTTCTTATCGTCTTTTTCACCGGGTGGCGGTGAGCAATCTTCCAATTCCCATAATTCTGGACATCTCCATCTATGATCCTGAGCCATAAGACAGTGCATAAAAGTACTACCGGTTCTAGCTAATGTAATTATAAACACTGGTCTTCGGAGTGGAACGTCGTAGATTGAGGGATCTTCTTTTAGGCTTCTATTGATTCTGACTCTCAATTCTAAAAGTCTTTTAATCCATATTCTCGAAAAGAGTCTACCAGTAGCGGGAAAAGTAGTTCTAAGTGGTAGATTATTAGAAAACATTTGGAAGGAATCTCTAAGATATTTGTGGCTTTCATACTCCATTTTCGCTTCCTTAGATATGACGGAAGTTAAAGAATCTTCGGAGAGGGGCCATAAAACAACACCAAAGTTAAGAAGAAAGTCTCCAATCCAATCGACAATGAATTTAATAGTCAGAATAATAAATCTTAGAATTATATGCATCTTTTCTTTATCTTTTTTTTATAGAGAATAAATACTTGGTAACATTTTAAGATGAAATGAATAAGATCGCGTTTTTATATCAAACGTAAATAAAAAAAATATTGATCTATTCCCATATTGTCGGCCTAGATAAATTGATAAGTTATCGTATTCGTAGCGCGGTACAAACGAACCGTTTTCAGTGTATAATATTGTGTTCAAAATCCAAAACCAGGAACCACATTTGCATATTTTACAATCCTAATTATTGCATAAATATGCATATTAATTTAAATATATAAATAAATTTGACTAATTGCCTGAAGGTCCGTCAATTGAGTGTAGTAAGCCTAATAAGTTATTTATTAGTACAAATTGTTATTTATCAAGAAAAAGTAATATTACTATTTTTTTTATTTCTTTTGATGTGCTCTAAAGGGGACGGAGTGTTCTCTTAAACCAAATTCGCATTATCGCGTTGTTCTACATTCCAATAAACGATTATTGTAGTGGCATATATAATGAAAATAGATATATATATATATATATATATATATGCTTACGTAAAGAGACTTGGACACAAACAAGCGCACACATACATACACACACACACACACACTATGCCTAGATCTTTTTAATCTAGAATATGATTGATACAGAAGTGAAAGTACAGTTTGTATCTTTCCTTTGTTTATTCAGGTTTGTATGTTTGTCAATTCGTTTATTTGTTTCTTTTTTTACAGGTAAAAAAGACTAGAAATCTACTAATAAGGGAGGGAGGGAGGAGTACAGATGATAGGGGGAGAGGGATATATTCAACAGAGGAAGAAGATAAATAAATAAAGTTTAATCATTATAATTATCACTTTAATATAGTTTTCTTTTCAATGATCCTTAATCTTCAATCTTCAATCTTCTTCTACCTTCACGTTTTTACTTTAAAATAGTCTGTATAGAACTTGAATTTTTGTCTTATCTGATTTTCTGTTAATCCAAACTCTTCAATGTTATATTTAGCTTTGGCATTGGATTTTTTATGATTTGACAAAAATTTAGTCATATTCTCTTTGGCCTCTGTTGTTAATTCTTGATCCAGTTGATTATATATTTGTTGTACGGTTTCAATTGGATTCTTTATTAAATCTTTAAAGTGAACGTCGACGAATCTCTGAAAATCTTTACTTTCAAAGTTGCAATCCCTCCTCCATTTAACCAACTTTTCAGCGTCGTGATAGACCGAATTCAAAACTCTTCTACCGTAGCCTTCGTTATCTTTTATGAATAGTCTTCTAGTAGGTCTAGAAATTGTTCTAATTAATTCGCAAGACGATTTCATTTGTCCTACGAAATCTCGGTGAATTGTGATGATTTGCGCATCGGGAAAGGCTTTTAGAAGAGCTCTTAAATGAACAGGAGATGTATGATGCATAGCCAATAATCGTCTCTTTGTCATATCTTTAAAGAAAGAATTATGGATCTTATAGTTAAAAGAGGAAAATGTCTTTTATATTATTTACCTGAATTTTTACAAATCATTTGCATTCGAACTCGATTATTCTCTTCGTAAATATCTTGAATTTTCTCCGACTGATTTCTAAAGTAGTCGGTAAATTCTCCTTCCATTCCGCGATGGAGAAGTGAAGAACCGACAAAATGACCGTCGAGGTAACCGATAAAAGCCAAATCTTCCGGATTGCGAGGGTCGAATGTGTGCGTCTTTTGTACGTCTTTCCATCCCATTAGACAACTCGATATATCTGATGGAATAGAAATTTATGTTATTATATTTTACATTAGGCTTTCCTATCCCAATCTTCTCTACTTACTCCATTTCAATCTACTCTCTGCAATTCTCCTAGAGTCGTCCTGTCCACCGGGCGGTGGTGCGCAATCCTCCAATTCCCACAGTTCGGGGCATCTCCAATTTTTATCTTGCGATAGAAGATGATGAAGAAAAGTACTACCAGTTCTCATGAGGGTAACAAAAAATACTGGACGTGTTAGAGGAACCTTATAAATAGAAGGATCCTCTTTCAAGCATCTTTGAACTCTGACTCTTAACTCTAATAGTTTAATCATCCAGACTCTTGTAAAATAATGACCAGTGAGTGGTAATTCATCGCATGAGGTAATATGTTCAATAAGCACCATAAAGTTATTCTTAGCATATTCAGTTTGTAGCAAATCAGATTTAGCTTGTTTAGATAATCCTTTGCAAACGGTTTCAAAAGTTAAAGGTTCTAATCTCAATCCAAACTTGACGAGAATATCGCCGAAGGCATCAATAATAAATTTTAATAGAAGAATAAAGAATCTAATGACGATATTCATTGTCTCTTTTCACAGGTTTATTTCTATTTGTTGGAACTATCTGTTGTTTCCGCAAAAGAGACAAGGATAGAAGTGAGTCTAAGAAGGAACGATGGATGACTTGTACCACAACAAACAAACAGCAACAATTGCAAAAAGAAAGCAGTCAATCAACAGAAAAAGGACGTCGGAATGAAAAGTAGTATTAAATATTTAGATTTCACATCTATATACATCAGTCAATATATACTTGTCTATTTATTAAATTTAATAGACTATGTTGTACTTATTACTTAGACTCTTATCTCCCTTTTAACCTATTCTTTAACTAAACAGTATACTAACTATTAGTTAAAAATTAGAAAACTATAAGGAACTTTAAGTACAAGGACTCTTCTTATTATTGCCATTTTCTAGGACATTCGTATCTATCGAATTGAATGGAACTCTACTCTCTTCTATGTTTAAGCCTACTTATCAATTATTGCGTTTCGCCAACTAGTAATTACACCTTTGGACATCAGTCTCGGAGAGGAAAGGTGTCAGTCGAAAGCCAAGTATTGTATTCTACTTGGCCGGAATAAAAGGAAGTGACTTTAACCTATTATCTAGATGTACCTTTATCAATTACCAGATACTAAGGTCACGAGTGTAAATTGTAGGGGGCGTAGTTGATAGAGAAGTATGAGAAAACTGCACAGATGGAAATATTTCTCAATCCCTAGCAGTTGCGCCCTCTTTCCGAAATATTTTCTGTCAAAACCGTTGAAATTTGAACTTCCGCTAGGTAAAGAGCTAGGGTAGACGGGCTTGTAAAAGCGTTAATGATTAAGTTAACCTTCTTTCTTGTAAGAAACTAACGAAAATGCTAAAAGGAGCCTTTTTTCAAATTGACATTTTTCCCGCAGTAATGATCTAGCTATAAATAAGTGACGTTTTTTAAACGCTCTCTTTAGTTAACTAATTATGGTAAGGTACCGATATACAATTCTATCAAACTTGACAATTAAAGCATATAGATAGTAGAATATGCTTTCATTACACTTTACAAATCAGTTAGATTAGAACGGTACAGGTCGCTGTACCGCTAGCCTTTCAGGTTACAATAAATTCCATATTACAAAGTTAAAGCAAAGGGAAGGGAAAAATCGTTTTGAACGATAAATATAAATAGTGAAGATAGACTCTCTTTTCACGATTTACTTGAAATATAAACAAATAAAGTATTATGGTTGTATTGTGTTGTGTAAGTTAAATTCTTCTACTTTTCTCTTCTTTCAATATTGAACAGAGTTATAAATACAACTTTACACGCTTTATATTCCCTTTTAGAATGCTAATTTTCGAAAACGTCTACAGAAGCATCCAAGACGTTTAGTATTATTTATTATCTAACATGGTTGGGTTAGGTTAGTCTTTAGACTACGATAAAGAATATGCAGCCAATATACACTCTTTAGTTTTAATTGCGCATCAAGTATAATTCAAATTACGATAGGCCTCTTGAAAGAATATAAATAAACAAAACAAGCTTATATCGGAAGAATAACAGTCTACGAATTAGTCAACTTGATAGTATTTGCTGTATATTCCCATATAGAGAGACTTATTAGGGGGAGAATCTCCTTTCAAGTGTTTGAACTGCAAAGATATACTGTATGTATATATATGGAGTATTTCCTTCTAGTTTCCTTGCTAATATTTGAATCGGGTAGATCATCTACTTAAAAAATATAATTAATTGTTTAAGTAAAATCATTATTGAAAAGTAAAATTTTAAGATCCATCTTATGTAGTAAATCTGTATTGTACTAAAAAAAACTTCAAGGAAAGTTTGAAGCGATATAATTTATAGTTTATCATCATGCCCAGTGGGTTACAGCGCAAAAAATGACCTAATCAGACTGATTTTTTTCAGCAACTTTTACGTATACGAAATAAAAAGTTTTTTAAATAATTTTTATTAATATCCGCTTAAACTTTTCGTTATAAATCTCTACAGATCATCATCGTCATCAGGCAAAGCCACGGATTTTGCTTGTTCTAATTCCTGATCCCACTTGGCAGCCAGATTTGGATCCATGTGAACTTCTGGTGGTTCAAGAGCTGGTGTTTCAACGAATTCTAAATTAGAATCTCCAACCAATTTACGAACTATCCATAGAAATGGTTTTTCAAAATTGTAGTTCGACTTTGCACTGATATCGTAGTACTGTATATTGGAAAATAATAATTTCAATTTAGTTTAGCCGGAAGTGTTTATTTTCCTTATCTCTTAATTGCTCTTCATTTTAAGCTTACCTGCAAGTTCTTCTTTCTATGAAATACGATTGTTTTAGCCTTTACTTTTCTATCCTTCACGTCAACTTTATTTCCGCAGAGCACAATTGGGATATTGTCGCAAACACGGACCAAATCACGATGCCAGTTGGGAACGTTCTTGTAGGTTGATCTTGCTGTTACGTCAAACATGATGATTGCGCATTGCCCTGTTAAAAAAATAGAGTAAAAAAACTGTCTTATTATTCAGGTCGATAATACAACAAAACAAATTTTGTTTGAGTATGTATAGTTCAAAAAAGTATAAAAGAGCACATTCTGCATTATATGTAAATTAAACTATTCAAGTTAAAATTTTTTCTTTCAGTCTGCTCAGCTACCGAATTTCACATGTTTACATAGCTTAAGACAGAATTGACTAGAAACAAAAAACTTTTAATAATATTCAATCATTCATTCTTATAGGACGCCACTTTGAAAATTATCATTCAATCATAAAGCTTTCCTTTTCTTTCGAAAAAAACTGACAAAACATTGCTTTTATCAACGAATCCTATTGGTTTTTGAATAAGCCTTATTTCGGTGGTTAAATACCATACCTTGGATATAATAGCCGTCCCTTAAACCTCCAAACTTTTCTTGACCGGCCGTATCCCAGACATTGAAGCGAACAGGTCCTCTCTTTGTATGGAACACGAGAGGATGTACTTCAACTCCCAATGTAGCTATGAAAAGAGAAATATTCAAGTACAAGTCCATTCTAAAATACTTTTTTTAATGTTCCAAATTATATTCTACTTACCAACATATTTCTTTTCAAACTCTCCGGTCATGTGGCGCTTGACAAAAGTTGTTTTTCCAACACCTCCATCTCCGCAGAGAACCAACTTGAACGTCGGCATATTTTCTTCTGGCTTGGCCATATTTTGTATACCTGGTATAAGCATATTTAAAAACAGTTAGCTAGACCATTCAAGGTATAAACCATTAATGAAAAATAGACGGATAAACTGCACTATATATACTCATGAAAACGTTAGCTTAACGTTTTTCTTACGAAACCGCCATTTTCTGGTTATAGCCGGTTTAAATAAATGCGTAATTATTTAAAAAAAGGGCTTATTGATTTCTTATAATATGTATTTTCCATATTTGATACACTAAGTAGTAATCGTTCGTCTTAAATCGTTAAAATTCGTTAAACACTTTTCGGTAGGTAGTTAATTATAATTTCATATCAAGCCGAATATTGGCCTAGTGAAAATGGCCTACAATCTCAAAGAGTCCATGTGCCAATATTCGAATGGTTATTACCATTTTTCTATTAAATTTTGTACCTTTTTACGCAAAATAGGGATTTTTTTTTGAATTTTTAACGGATATTCCAGCGAAAGCATGAGAGGAATTTTCCCCAACCGGATCTAACCGGTTTGCCTCCGAACTAGCTAACAAAAACACATTTCTACCAACAATTAGTTGTGGTAATGATGAAGAATTATTGAAAATTAAATAGAAGAATTATAAATAGCCAAACTGTCTACTTACTAAGGATATATATCGTAAGAGAGAAGGTAAAGCGTGCTTGGCGCCTCTTGAAAATGGCGTGGGTGAAGGTCGTACTTAACGTTGTTCCACGAGACTTTAAGTGCGCGTCTAGACCAAAAGCCTGGCTTGCCTCTACCGTTAAAAAATAACATTAAAAGTATTTTCGGAATAATATACCATCCTAGAGAAGACATGCTTGGAAACGGCGAAACAATATGGGGATGATGTTGCTAGACTACAATTAAGGATAATTTTTTTCTCAATATTTATCGTTTATTATAATTACATTTATTAAAAGTAATATTCTACTTAATTTGCGATCTTTCACCGAACAAATCAGGGTAATTTTTTCAATGATTTCCTAAATTTAAATAAACAGAAAACTTAATTAATTTTGATATAAACAGATGTCAGTCTACGATAGAGCAGAGAGAAGTCTCGTCAATCTAATAGGAAGTACTGGGAAAAATATCGGTCCCGGCTCCTACAATATGGATTCGCCTAATCCAAAGAAAATTCAAATAGATGGATATGCTCCATTCTTATCCATGACAAGCCGTGAAACGTTTCCATCGCAAATTGAAACTACAGCGGCTTTACCTGGACCGGGGCAATACGACCCGGGTACTATTCAATTAACAGTTAAAGGTGGTAGTTCCCTCTCGAATAAGGAGGGTCGATTTAAACACAAATCAGAAGTTACTCCGGGACCAGGCCAATATAATCTTGAAGAGAAAAAAGCTTCACCAGTTAAAATTGAGGCTCCCCACGCAAAAAATGTTTTAATTATGGCGAGAACAAAACCAGTTAAAGTTGCTCAAGCCCCATCCATACCAGTTCCTCAGCAGGCCTACGGTTACGAAGAAACCGAAGATGGGCTGCTACAAAAGCAAAAACCGCCCAAACGAGACGTCTCATTAGGACCAGCCTATTATAGAGTATCTACAGATAAAGTCGAATCGGACTTTAAAGGAACACAGTGGTGTAAGAGAACGAGTCAAAGATTTACTTTTGGGGGTAGAGAGGGGCCCGGACCCGGAGAATACGAAGTTGATTTAAAGAGGTCAACAAGAGCTTTGAACTTAAATATCGCCGTTTCGGAAAAAGGCAAACCCGATCCAATTATACCTAGATATAATGAAATAGTTGAAATTAAAGCGAAGAAAGAAGGAATTCCCGGACCGGGAAAATATGAAATACCAAGTCAATTCGATAAACTGCAAAAGAATAATGTGGATAATGTTGAGTTTTCTCCGGAACATCCGCCATTCGGTTCTCAAAGTATGGTAAGTTGTTATTGTAGATACTGTTTTGTTTGTTTGTTTTGTTTTGTTTGTATGTCAGTTTTGTCAGTTTATGTTGTTTTACAGTTGTAACGAGAAACATATACCGCAAAAAAAATAATATGAAATGGTAAAAGCGAGGATTAACGACAAATACTTTAAAAGATTTCTATTAACTTTCAGAGATTCGGTAGGATGAAAGAAAGTACACCAGCACCAGGTGCTTATAACGATCCTAGACAAGCTTTAGACGCTCTAAGAAAAGTTAGTGGCCTTAAGAAATCTCCTTTTGGTCAAACTAGTGTCAGATTCATTTCTGAGAATCGAGGCGGTCCAGGCCCAGGGGCGTACAATGCCGGCGGTATGGGTTCTGAAAGTATGAGAAAAGCTTACATGGAATCGACAAGACGGGGAGTATTTGGAACAACCGCACCAAGGTCGCACGGTTTAGCGACAAAAACTGAAACTGCTAACCCTGGCCCATCTCACTATCAACCCAAAGAAGTGCCATTTAAACCTAAGTACGATAATGCATCAGCCAATTTCCAATCGCTCACAAATAGATTTGAAGCTGAAGCAATCATTAAGGTATTAATACGATTTATAAATAATTAATAGAGTTTATTACACCGCAATTTTCCTTAATTTAGGATACACCTGCTCCTGGATCCTACGATGTTCATAAGGCTCATACGAAATTAATAAAGAGAGAACTGGCACCGCCTAGGACAACGGAAGCTAAGAAACGACACAATGCCTTCCAAGTTTCAAGTGGGCGTTTCGTTCCGCCCCACGATATAATTGTAGATGAAACGGATCCAAGTAATCCAGGTATAAAACACAAATTAATTGCATCCAATTTAAGTATTCAAAAAACTTGATAAAATTTTATCTTATCGCCTTTTTTTTGTTGTTGTGTTTATTTAATTTAGCTCCGAATATGTACGCTCCAAAAATAACCGGCAGAGCAAATAATCCATTGACCGCAAAGGATAAAAGATTTAAGAACCTATCAAAAGAGAATGTACCAGGACCGGGAACGTACGAATTTAATCCACTCATACAAGATACAGTATTAAAGGGAACATTCAACGCAACGTTGAGCAATCCTTTGGCGAATACTTCGCAGAGCGGTAGCATTCCACCTAGTAAACAAGCGTTTATGTTGGGCGTCTAATAAGAAGTTTTAAATCATAATAAAAAAAAGTTTATTAAATGACTGTCTCGTTGAAAAAAAAAAGTAAAAATTTATTTATTTCATGTAAATAATAAAGAAGGAGAAACGTCTTATCAACATAATATTTAGGACGTTACCGGAAATACATTGATTTTTTTGTGATATCTGTCACCTAATGAATAATAAAAGGTATTTAAGGCTCTTCCGGGAGAAGAGAGGGAGAGAGAGAGAGAGAGAGCGAGAGAGAAGGGTGAGGGCTAGAGAAGGAAGGGGGAGAAAAGAAACGGTTTTATAAACCAACTATTTGAGATCTGCTCTTTTAAAATTTCCAACAACGTCTTTCCAAGAGTAGCATAATCCTCTTGACCTTTCAAGAACTAAATTTCTTGTCTTGGCTATTTGTAATTCTCTTTCGTAAAATTCAAATCTTTGTCTATTCTTTGCGTTCTCTTCCGCTAGATGTCGTATCCTCTTATCTTTCTCCACCAGACAATATTTCAAATTTTCAATTTCGTCTTGCTTCACTAATAAACTCCTTTGCGTATCGAGTTTTATTTGTCTTACTCTTGAATCTAGGGTAGAACAATTGCTCCTTTCTTTCAAAGCCGAGGTTTTGACCTTGTCGACCTCTGTAGAAGCGTCCTTTAAAGTTTCTTTTAATATTTCATCTATTCTCGAATACTTATTATTACAATTTAGCAGTTTCAAGCAGCTTTCCCTTTCAATTCTAAATATAGAATTTTCCCTTTCAAGACTTTGATAAACTTTGAACAGTTGTTCGATTTTCTCTGATGCTAATTGAAAAGCTTTCTTCTTATTAGTCTCCAAATCTAAATCGATTAATTTTTGTCTATCGAAATTTTTTCCATCATCCCTACTTCCTTCTTGATTTGTATGCTTGATTAACTTATTGATATTTCCAAGTAATTCCTTTACTTTTGATTGTATTAGATGTCTTTCGGTTATTAAATCTTTAGTGCGTCTTTTTACGGAAAATTTACATAGAAGTTCAGCAACCGCAAATCTTTTAGCAATTTCGTACGTAACATTAACAGAGCTGAATTGCTCAGCTTCGGAAATCATCCAATTATTCGGTCTATATTTCCCTTCTTCTACAATTAGTTCAGCTTTGAGTTCGTCAAGCAAATTGACATACCCTCTATTTTCCAAACTGTAACAAATCTTCTGAAAAGAGAGCGGTTCCTTTTCGAAATCTTTCAATAGTAGGGAGAATTTTTCATTGACGTCTTTATTTTTCTATTTGGGGAAGAAGAATATATAAATAAAGAAGAGGGGAGAGGGAAAGAGAGGGGGAGAGGGAGAGAGGGAGGGAGAGAGAGAGAGAGAGAGAGAGAGAGAGAGAGAGAGAGAGAGAGAGAGAGAGAGAGAGAGAGAGAGAGAAAGATAGAAAGAAGGAAAGAAAGAATGAAAAAAGAGAGATAAAGGGGAGAGAGAGATGAAAAGTAAATAAAATAAAAGTTATAATATCAATGTAAAAAAAAATTTTATTTGAAACCTGAACTTTCTCTAAAGTACCCTTTAAAACTATTCCTTGTCCAACGAGATCTTTTAATAGGCGTTGATTATTGACATTAAAAAAGACGCTTTGAAAGCGGTCCCTTTTCCTGTTCAAAATACGTTTCTCTAGAGCGTTCATTTTACCTAGAAAGTGAATTTTATATTGAATAGGTTTAAATGTCGTTCGAAAGGTTTCTAAAATATTTATTATGTAAAATCCATATCTAAATGTGTATATCTACTTTATAAAGTATAGATAAAACTTTATAGACTGTAGTTGTTGTACACTATATATAATTCATGAAGTGAAATATCATCATGAGTGTTATCGTCATTAGTGATATAACGATAACTTTCTCTATCGGAATAAAAGGAAAAAAAGTGCCAATATGCTACTCTGAATAGGGTAGATAAGTCTAAATTGATGAATTATCCAAAAAGATAGCCTTTGGCTGGCTGCTTAGCGATTTTAGGCCTATTATCGAAAAGGGAAAAAAAACCGATTCATCCGTCAAAGTAATCGAACTGTCCATTTTCTATGCGTAGAAGATCGGAGATAATAAGAGTGGATGACGAATTTGTTAATAATTAAGGAATTATTCTAGTTTGACATCTGAAAAAATAAAACAAGTGAGAATATTTAAGAAATTTAATCTATAAATTATAGGAATGGATTGCTCATTTATTACTTTTTTCCTATCTTGAAATTCTTATGAGAAATGTCTATTTTGCGAATTTCTCTCATAAATTTTTTATGAATAAAAAAAAAAACATTCCAGGGATTATTAATCATCTATTCGGCTAATCCCTCGTTTCTCAGACCTTAAAAATTCAACTAGAAAAGAAAGAAGATGGAGAAACTTATAAACGAGGTAATGGTCTATCTATTTTCTTATTAGTTTCTTCGTTGTAATAGGAGTTATACTTTTTAATAGAGAATGTTAAATTGTCAAATATCCTTTATTGTGCATAATTCTATGTTTTTATCGTATTATCTATCATTTGCTGTAGGTGGAACGAAGATGAATACAGATGATTATTAGTTGATTCTAATATCTTTTTACTCTTTCTATTTCACTGTCTCTCTCTCTCTCTCCTACTATATTCCTTCTTGTATACTGTACATATACACTTGTATTTATATTCGTACTATATCAAGTACATATATATGGCAATAACTTTATAGATAGATAATAAATTAGCAAAAAGTATGATTAAACATTTCTATTATTATTAATTATTGTCTACGTTATCCATCACTCGGACTCTTTTAAACTCCGAATCATCCTCTTAGTAACTAGGTGAAAAGGTTGAGAATGATTGAGAGAACATCGTTTGTTTTTTCGAGAATGTCTTTCTCAGATTACGGATTTTCTACGCCCACTGTTCCTTATTCTCGGAATTAGAGCATAGGAGAGTAGCTTATCAGTAAAAGTTAATTACATATTTCCGTTTTAACCTCTAGCAGGATTAGAAGATAACTTGTTTAATAAAAAATTAGGGACAAACAACTAAAAATAAAATACAAAAATATAAGCAATGTGTAGTTTGTATTTATTCAAATATTTCTAATACATTCTATTAATCATTTAAAGGTTGCCATAGCGTACGTTTCTCGTCTCTTTTCTCCATTTTTTATGTCCCACCATTTGTGGCATTCTATATAATGTGCTACATTATTACGGAAGAATAAAACTTTACATTTTATGCGCGTGTCGGGCGCTTAATAAAGTGTTCTGTATAGAGTGAAGAGAAGAAACGCTTCTTTCTACCGCAATATCTAAAAGCAGTCAATAGATGGCGTTTCTAATAGGATAGCGATAGCTATGTAAAAAATATAGTCTATTTTAAGATCTTTATTAGGGAGATAGATGGAACAAAGGAGGGAAAATTATAGAAGAAAAAATATAGAATGCACTTAAAGAGTTGAGAATAAGAAATAAAAAAAGAAGAAGACGGCTATGAAAAAGAAAAGGAAGAATAAACGATTTTTGAGATAAGAAGAAGATAGAAGAACAACTACAGCTAATAGTTTTAATTAATAATAATAATAATAATAATAATAGCATGAAGGATATTTAAAGAGTTTAGAATATCAGATATTCAAGATGTATTTTAATTAATTAATTAAATCAGCTTGTTTACTTTATAAACAACTAATTCATGTTCATCCTATAACATTCCATTACATACATATTTTTACTTATATCTTTCTCCCTTTTTTTCTTTCTCTGTCTGTCTGTCTGCCTCTGTCTCTCACTCTCACTCTCTCTCGCTCTCTCTCTCTCTCTCTCTCTCTCTCTCTCGCTCGCTCTTATATTCTGTATATATTACTATACATATTTATATATGTACCATATAAACTATATACACGGTATAGAGTATTTATTGATATATATGTACGTATGTATATCTTCCTTGCTCTTTTCACTTTTCTGTCCTCTCTCCCCTCTTCCAAGGTTCTCTGCAGCTTGATACACGATATAGTGTAGTTAGTATAACATTTTCAATGTTTAATTGACTAATTAAGAAAGGTTACTTACCCTTTCTGTCGTTATATAGGTAATTATTTGTAATTAAACAATAATTATAATAACGGGTAAAAATCTAATAGTAGGGACTGTATGTGAGTTTGAAGTATTCTATAAAGAATATAGTGTTAAACGAAATATATAGGATTGATAGAGTGGAACATACAGTAGATACATAACATACTATATATATTTTGATAGAAAGGTTATAGTCTTTATAAATATTCATTAATCGTTTAAACGTCTAGCTGATTACAGATATAAAATATATGGTATAGCTATTAGAATAAATTAAAATATACATTATATTATGCTAATTTAAATTAGCATGCTAAATTCGTCGAGAAAACGAATAAATTTAACAAATTACTTTCTTAATGCTTCTTTCCTGCTACTTTAGAAGTTTGCTAAGAGAACCAAACTTGGTGAAGATTTAAACGACATTACAGTCTAATCAATAGACGACACGGGCGTCTCTAATTATCTTTACAAGTCCTTAAAGCATTAATTATACTGTTTTTAAGACGGCTAATTTACATATTCATCTGATAATCTATTACTTTTTTAGTACATAGATAATGTCCGTAGACCAACTAAAATAAATTAAGAGTGTAGGATAAGAAGTAGGGCGTAAAATGAATTTGTTCCGGACGTAATTCCCTCTTCGGCTAGGAAACCTGGTTATGCAGAAAGAAGTCCACTCTGTTCACATCCTCTATCTATAATACTCTTTTCCTCTTCCTCTCTCTCTCTCTCTTCTTTTTGTCTCTTTCCTAATTTGCTCCATCCAACTAAAAAAAGATTTATATATATATACAGTATATACAGTATATATGTAAAGTATAGAGAGCGAGAGAGAGTGAGAGAGACAGAGAGAGAGAGAGAGAGAGAGAGAGAGAGAGAGAGAGAGAGAGAAACAGAGGTAGAGAAACTTCTCCTAACCACATTTCTCTTTTTCAATTTACATAAAACAATATAGACAAATATATTTTTCAAGGAATTTTTCACTCAATTAACCTTATCTCTTACGGTTAATACTCAGCAATGCAGATGGCGCTATAAACATGACATAGGCTATCGAGTCGTGAGGTCAACAGCGTTTAAGAAATTAGACAATGTCAATGACCGTAAGGTCATAAGATTTTTTATTTGTTTTGTTATTGTTATTATTATTACTATTATTATTATCAATTTTAGTGATTTTAACCAATTGAAATAGTAGGAAAAGAGATAAAAGATGCTGAATAGATAAAGCAAAAGAGACACATAATAAATTCTAAAAATGTAAATAAAAGAAACTAAATGGATCTCTTTGCGTAGTGGTCGATTTATATTAAGAGTTAATAATAGAACTTTCTGAAAGAGAGAGAGAGAGAGAAAGTGAAAGAGAGGAGTGAGAAAAAAACGCTCTATTCGTCCGTAGTTTCTCTAAATAGTAAGATTATTAAAGGATAGACGTAAGCCTATAATTTCTCAGGGTGGAGTGTTCGAATCGATTAAGAGCTACGAGGAATTGGAGGAACGAGTGCGGCTAATCGTCCTACTAGACGTTTCTTTCTAACAAATGTACGTAGATGAAAATTGGGTAGTCTGTGTTCATTTCTTGAGGCGATTAATTGGCGTCTATTCTCTGCTTCGTCTAATCATCATAGAAAAATACGAAAGTGGGCGGAAAGAATCAGAACGAGAAATTAACTGCTACTTTTCTTACTATTTCTTAAGAAATCAGTCATTTTTTTCATATTTATACAGCTATAATATCAGTATGGTTGTGTATATATATTTTTTGATCTTTCATTTATTCCATTCTTTAGCAGTATTTTGTTGTGTTTGTAATATATTCCATTCTCTCAAATAATTCTTTTTCAGATGGTCATTTTCTACGATTGAAAATAGAGATGACAACGTTTCGACGTTACTATCGTTTTCTACTTGTTCTTTTCATTAACTATTTCTTTATCTATCTTATATATCCTATCTCTCTCTCTCTCTCTCTCTCCCTCCCTGACGCCCATACATACTAACACCAACACTAATACCGTTCCTCCTCTCTTCGCTTCTTCCATTTCCTCCTTATCATCTCTTCATTCATTTATCCACTTTACTTTTCTACAATGCTAAAAGGATCCTATTAAACTTTAATAGCAACATTAATTAATTAAATTACACCCAGTTATAAAGTATAAAAAGTAGAATTAAACAGTTTTTCAAGATAAATATAGACAAGATTTACAATGATAACGAAGACGATGATGATAATAATGATGATAATAATAGATTATTATAAGTTTACTATAAAACTTGTTTCTTATAGTTTTTGTTTTGTTTGTTGTTTGTTTTAGAAGTTTTGGGTGTGAAAAGTAATAAAGTAAATTGAATCAATTAAGTTCTAACCCAACCCTAATTATAATTAATATAATTTCTTAGTAATAATTAATGCAAATAAATATGATTTTTCTATTTATATATCATTTTCTTTCGCGCGCTCTCTCTCTCTCTCTCTCTCTCTCTATATATATATATACATATATACTGTATATATATATATGTATTTATACCATTCGTATGATGTATACATCTCCTTACGAAATGCTAATCGTATAAACTGCACGACATTCTCCATTCCAACGTTATTTAATTACTCGAAAATTCTATGTTATTCGAATTGTTTTACTTCTAGAAATTTCCATCTATCTGTAAATCTATCTATTTATCTATATATACAGTATATATATATATACTTTTTATAGCTATTTATCCATTCAATTTCAGTATCGAATGTTCAAATAGATGCTATTCTTTACTAAAATATAGAATAAACTAGGTTTCTCTTATTGTTTGTACATATTTGTATATTAGACCTCTTCTCAGAGTTGAAGAAGATATGTATATAACTTTGAAATCTTATCAGCTCTATCAATCTTAGCCTCAAGTATAATGTGTTGCAATGCATGAATCAGCATATACTATATATATGTCTGAAAAATATGAAACAGCATTTACAATACTATTCTACTCCTACTTATAAACAACTAGAACATATTTCAAAATGGCTTACAATCTTCCAAAGAAAAAAGATGGTATAAAACTAGATTATCTACCAATAGATTGGACAACGAAAAAAGGTCGAAAAGTTGTTTTGGACGAGTACGACGTAAAGGATGAACCATCCTTACACGCATTGTTCCAAGATACCGTAAATGTTGGCGAAAGTTACCCTCAAGATTCAGCTACGTTAGAGGAGTTTCGCAGTTATTACCTAACTCATCAAGTATTCGTTGTAAAGGATTCTAAAGAAGGAAATATATTAGGAGCGTTCTATGTGAAACCAAACTTTCCCGGTCGTTCATCGCACATATGTAATTCCGGTTTTCTGGTTGATGCTATTTGTAAAGGTAACGAAACAATAGTAGTTTTGTATATAATATACGAGTTTATACTATTCAATATTTCATATTAGGACAAAACAACTCTTGTTATCAATATTGCTCAATACGATAAGTAATTTGCGAAATATTTAGTATATAATGATCATCTTAAACAAATGAATTGATTATTTATTATCCTAACGTATCAAAATATTTCGGTTATTGTAGAGAGTTAACTTTTACAATCCTCTTGAAAGTCTATACGATGGGTCGTGTTCTTGGCGTTAAATCCTATGTATCTAATATAAAAGCTGCTTAGAAACTTTCGGAGAGAATAACATTCCCAATCACCTATTACTAAGTAAAAACGTTGAGAAAGAGGAAGAACCTAAAAGGAAACCTTATAATGATTATTAGCAATTAAAAAGATTACAGAGAATCGAAACGCCTAAGTATAATTTCACAATCTACTATAGCAATAGGAAAACTACTGTTTTTATTGTATATTATTATTGTTATTATTATTATTATACAAGTATTTAAATCTTGTCAAAGACATTAAAGAGATCACTGAACTTGGACAATTGTCATCCAATATGTAGTATAGTGTAGTGTGTTTATAGGCCTGTTTGACAGATTTATAGATTTATATATATAGAACAAAATGGAAAAGAGAGACGTAAATGGTAGAGGAGGAGGAGGAGGGGGAAGGGGAGGGGGAGGAGGAGAAGGAGAAGAAGAAGAATACAAAGAAGAAGCTACTAGCTATTTTAACTATATAAAAATCATACATTTTTTATATTACGAAGTCACGTAACGTTTTAGCACATTCTTTTCCAAACGTCATGTCCGTTCCTTAGGACTTTAAAGGCTATCCCGAGAGGGCCAACAGGAAGCGTTAGTTCAACGAAGAATGCATAAGAAAGCACAAGTAAATGCTATTTATTCGTTAAAGTTACTATACTACTTATGAAACTATCATTTTCTCTCTGTTCCTTCGTGTAGAGAGAGGGGTAAACTTTGTTTTCTATTGAAATAATAATAAAAACACAAACAAACAGAAAAATCGTATCAAAAGAAACATTATTAAATATGAATTATATTGGCATTTCGAAGGGTTTTATCACCCCTACATATAGATAATTATCAAACATTTAATACAACATATATGTATAATATATCATAGAAACAATCGGAAAGCTTAAACAATATACCGAAAATACGGTAAGCTCGTTACATGAACGATTTGTTTAGATATTATTTTTCAAACTTATTTTCGTATTTAATTTCTTTTTACACAATTGTTCATTCTTTATATTATTTATTGTACATTAGACGTTTGCCCTTCTTTTGTTAAGAGTCGTTCGTTTACAGTTTTCTACATGCAAATTGACTTGATAATAAAGTAATAAAGTCTAAATTATCTCTTTGCCGTTCGTCTTCTTCTTCTTCTCTCTCTCTCTCTCTCTCAGGAGAATAATAATCAATCAAACTTTTACCTATAAAACATTCAATTTATTCAAACATCGTGTTTATAAAATGTCATTGGTTTAAGGCAAAATTTCATTGAATTTCAATAATCTATGAATATTTTAACGAATGTACCTCTTGTTTAAAATATGATATTGTATATACAAGAAAATAGGCTATTAATAAACTTTTCAATTATTGAATATTAAAAACAATTGAAGACAAAAGATTTTTAGAAGTGTACGCAAACAGAAAATGTACAAACCCCTAAATTACTTAATAAGCTAAACAGTTAAATTATTCAAATTCGTCTCCTTCCTTAATCTCTCTCTCTCTCTCTCTCTCTCTCTCTCCTTCAGTAGATGTATAGTAAATAATATCTGTATAATACAGTATATATATATTTTGTAATAATGATAAGATTCCCGGAAGATCATTTCTAACTTTTCATATTTATCTCTTCAAAAGTAATTTGAAAGAAAAGAAAAAGAGCACGTTGTTTTTACTCTATATACTCTCTCTCTCTTCCTTGTGCAACCATTAAAAATATTCCTATATTAGATTAAGTCCAAGATAAACTAGCTAATTATTACATAATTGGTTTATAAAAGAATAAAGAATAAATTTTTCAACAGGCGAAGGAATAGGGAAATGGATGGTAAAAAACTATTTAAGAATAGCTGCAGATCTTGGTTACAAAGCCAGCTTTTTTAATCTCGTCTTTGAGATTAACAACGCCATGATTAGAATAGCCCAGAATCTTGGTTTCCAACAAGCAGGTCGTATACCAAAGGCAGTAAAGTTGAACGATGGCCGTTACATAGATGCTATCCAATTTTACAAAGAATTTGAAGTAGATGGCACCACTTAGTTTCATAGTTGAAAGAAAAAAGGAGAAGACTACTTAATATATGTAAAAGACTTTGTTAATGAAAGGGAAAATAACAAAATATTTCATTATTTAATCAAATTGTTCTACTAAATTCTGTTTTTCTTTATATTTTAAATAAATTAAAGATAGAGGAAAAGTTTTAATGGATAGTAGTTTTATTCTTACTTTAATCATTTAAATGTAAAGTATAAAAATAGAAGGGAAAAGAGAAGAGAGGGAAAGAATGAGGAGGAGAAGAAGAAGAAGAAGAGAAGGAGACGGCGAAGAGTCTGGAGTAAACTTAATATGCAATACTCGTGTGGAAAATTTAAGCGGGCAAATTTAAGGCGAAATTAAGCGAATATGCGCTACGAATCCTAATTGGGAGAAAGGCCAAAGTTTTGACTTTTATTTATTTATTTGGATCTTTCTTTTCTGTTTGTCCGTGTGTGCGTCTCCTCTCTGTCTCTCTGTCTGTCTGTCTGTCTGTCTCTCTCTCTCTCTCTCTCTCTCTCTCTCTTTATCGCTTCTCTACCTCTTTTGAATAATAAAGTAGTTATTAAACAAGAGTCAAAACAACTACTTACTTACCTTTCTTTCACATGACTTAAATATAATGTATATACAGGTAGTTTGTAAGTGATATTGTATAAAAAAAGATAAATAATTCATTTAGTTTTAGAGACTTCCTATTATTACAACATTAAAATATTTGTTTAATTTACTAAATAAAAAATTTCTAAACAAGTATAAGAATTTACATTATCATTTTATAAACTGTGTACGTTAGGCCATTATTACTCCCTCTCTCTCTCTCTCTCTCTCTCTCTCTTAATAAATAGCCATATGGCTTTAAAGTTTACTTATTTACTCTTTTACTATATTTATATACTTTCACACACACATACACATACACACTATCTCTCTCGCTCCCTCCTCTCATACTTTTCATCTTCTCTTCGTTCTCCTACTCATTTGTTCACACCTCTTCCTCTCTTCCTCCTATGGGCATATAGTTTTTAATTGTTGCGTCTCCTCCCTGCCCTCCCCTCCCCCTATAGGCATACTTTTCTTCATTTTCGTACTGGATACTATTTAAAGAAGCATCCCAATTACTTGTTTAAATAAAATTTCTTTTTGATCTGTAAGCATTTAGACATTGCCTTACTTTCATTATATTAATATCGTTCATTAAGGTATCATATAATGGATTAATATAAAAATTATAAATAAATATTTATGCGCCTATCAATTTCGTTGGAATTAAGAGTTGTATATTTATGATATAGAAAGCTATAGGCATAGTTTTTTTCCATTTACATTACGATTAGATAATCCATATCATTATGCCACAACATCAATAATGTAAGAAATAATTGTAGGACTACAGAAACTAAAATAACTTTATTCCTCCCAACTAGTTCATTTTGGAATGTTCTCTTTATTTTCTTTTACCGTTAGCTTTAATCTCCTATTCGTAAAGTTTATTCCTAGCTAATAGGCCTGTATTTAATAAGTTCTTAGCTTCAACAGAAGTATTAGCCAAGTTATGAGAGAAAATAAGTTGGCGGTTCTATTTAAAAAAGAGAAGAAACTGAATTCTTTAATTATTCATACTAATAAATGCTATATTTATACTGGTATATAAATGTAATTTTTCTGTAAAGGATATCTAGTAAAATTGATATCTAGATAGACAGGATAAGAAAAGAAGGAAGAAGAGAAAGATTGAGAGAGAAGGAGAGAGAGAGAGAGAGACAATTAGACGTAATGTGTTTTTAACAAAATTAATTAATTACACATCTATTTGATTAAATATAAATAAACAAGTGTTGAAAAACGTAACCGAATAAGAGATTTTAATGGCGAAAGAGGAACAAAAAAAACCTTTATGGTCTCACCATTTGCCTTTAAATAGTTTAAAAATATACTTTTGTCGAGTTATAGTAAAAATATTAATAATTAATCGAAAACTGGTAAAAGATCGAGAAAAAAACTAAATTGGACACTATGAGGACAAAAAACAAATTAGAAATCGTAGACCGTCCAATCTGAAAGGGGTTGAAAGGTGAAGAGAATAAATCTAAGTGAAAAAGGGAGAAAAAGGAAGAGAGAAATAGCGCGAGAAGGTGATGTGTGTGTAAGAGAGAAAGAGAGAAAGAGGCGAGAGTTAGAGATAGGGGCAGAGAGAGGGAGAGAGCAGAGACAGACAGGCAGACAAACAGATTTTGTTTGTATATGAAAGTTCGTAATTTTTATGCAAGACTATTTCATTGAAAGTACACTGTCCATACTATAAAGCCTTTCATTCTCTCTATGCACGATGCAAGATCTTTAAGTATCGAAATATATTGTACGTGTTTAGTGTCAACCCTGAAAAATCAAGTAGGGAAAGTCATAAAGTAATTATTGAGAAGAGTCAAATATCTTTTATTCATTACGAGTTTTTTCACGGTGGTGCGTGTACTCAGGCAAAACAGAGAAATGGAGCAAAAAAAATGAGTAGGGGACGGCCGATAAAACGTGTAATTGAAAGCTTCGCCCGGCTTTGTAGTAAGGCGAATGTTTGATGGAGTTTATGCATGATGGATGAGTATATTCGCCTTTAACCAATTTTATCCCAAGTATAGCCGACCTATATCTTACGACAACGACTTCTTTTTCTTATTATTATTTTTTTTACCGCTACGGAACGTGCTGGATTGCAGCTGAGATTTTTTAATTGTTATTATTATTTATAATATCATTAATCATTAGTAAAACTCTAATGGGATTACATGTCCTTTTACTCTCCTCCTTTTCTTTCTTTCTTTCTATTTTCTCTTTTTTTTTTGTTTTTTTTTTCGTTTTTTAATATTATGCGATTAAAACACCTTACTCATCCTCCGTAAATCTCCTTCGTCGAATGTCATTCGGCATTAGGATCGTCCAACAGAAGTAATGACAACCCAATTTTGGTTACCGCTTCTTTTCGGCAGATCTCCTTGTAGCTTCAATTTATTAGGTTATAAGGTTCGGTGAATGTCTATGGTTGACCTGTCTAATTTCATTTTAATCCGGGCTTCCTCTATTAATAAAAAAATTTCTATTCATTCTTTCACTTCACTGTATATATATACACATACATATTGGAATACGAATTGAAAGAGAGAGAGAGAGAGAGAGAGAGAGAGAGAGACAGACAGACAGACGGACAGAGAGAAAGTGAGAGATAGTGAGAGGGGGGAGGGGAGAGAGAGAGAGAGAGGGATGAGAGAAACTCTGAAAGAAAAAAAAATCAACTATATAGAATTGGTTATAGGAATTGTTCACCTGCTTTTTTATATACAGAATTTCCGATGATAAATGTAATCGTATTTTTTAAATGGAGTGTGGGGTGTCTAATGCTTCGTTTTAGTCCTTTTAGCATGTTTCTTATCTCTTTCTGTCATTCGCGTTTATAGGATTTTACGAAAATCTAAAGACGAGACAAAGAGGGAGGGAAGAAGGGAGGGAGGGAGGGAGGGAGAGAGAGAGAGAGAGGGAGAGAGAATGAGGGTGAGTGAGTGAGAATCATACTAATTGTCTTAATTAAAAAGAGAAATGTCTACAGTAATTGGCAGATGTGTTTCTAACAATATATCTATTAAGGCTTATTTAATTTTCTATTTAACAAATTTCACTTATTTTTGAAATATTTTAATCTAACTAATTAATTGTCAAATTAATATCGAAGAATGTTGAAAAAGCGAAAAGGATAACAAAAAAGTTTACGATAATGACAATAACGATAACGCTAATGACTCTGTAGTGATGATGAGAGTATTAATGATAGAGAGACGGATAGATAGATAGATACTTGGATGCGTGGAGAGAGGTAGATATCTAGAGAAGAGAGAAGAGGAGAGGAGAGGAGAGGAGGAGAGGAGAGAAGAGGAGGTAAGGCTGAAAAGGAGAGAGAAGGAGAGAGGGAAAGAGAGGGAGAGAGAGAGAACACGAAGAAAACAAAAGGAAAAAGCTTATTATACTACATATAACGATAGTATAGAGGGAAAAAAATGTCCACAAATGTTAAGCCTTACAAAAATTCTCTTATCCAATTTAATTATACAAGTGTTTATCATAGTGAGATAATTTTCTTATTCGCTACAGAAAAGACTGCTAACCTTTAGCCAGTGATACGAAAGAAAAAACATAATAAAGGCTAACTTTCATCCAGATGTTGGGAAATTCGTTCGTTGTAGGTCTAATGTGATACAAAGATAATCTTCTCGAGCGTCTCTTTTCTATTTTTAGAAGCATTCGTCTTTTTTACTATACTTCACATCTCCCTACGACGTCCCATTTAGGAAATTTTTCATTCGTATCAAGTGGTTCTACGATTGATAGTTGAAAAACATTTTCTCGCAGTCTTTACAGATTGTTTGTAGGGTTAAGAACATAAATCAAATCACAAACGAATCCTTTCTTCTTCGTTCACAAGAATATTAACAATTTTTCTTCTATAATCTAAAAAATAAACTACGCTATTGTGCGTCGGTTGACGTTTTCTTAGAAGGATTAATTCCTTATAATAGCTAGGCCTAGAGAACTGTAATTTTTTCAAACCTATCATATCAACGTCAGATCTTCTAAGCCGTCTATTTTGACATAATTTCCTTTAAGGGGTAGACTTGTATATAAACTTTATATTGCGTATTTAGTTCTCTCCTATCAATTGTGCCTTGTTTTTAATATCCCTTTATATTCTGTCATTTTTGCTGCCTTTTTATTTTCTCTTCCCCTCCCCTACTTCTCCGTAAGATTGTCTCCCGATCTGGAATAATTTTAGTGTTAAAACAAGACAACTGTAACCATGTACGCAGTAAAAACGGTCTCCAACAGACATTGTTGAATAAATAACGTAGTTATTCAAATTTAACGGCTATATATAAAAGAACAAAAGGTGAAATTGTAGAAAACTTTGAGTATCGTTTACTTTTCATTTTTCTTGGCAATCTATTAAAAAAAGTTTATTTGTCGAACTACTCCATCTAGCGACCGTTTCAGCTTCAATAATATCATAAACAATTAGCATTCTAACTCTTAATAAACTATTGAGTGCTCTTAAGATGTTTACTCGAATAATAAATTCAATGCAATTACTGTTATTAGGAGAGGAATTATATAAATATTGTATATTATTTCTTGTTTTGTGTATATAATGATGGAGGAGAAAGTATGAGAAAGGAAAGAAGGAGAGGAAGAGGAAGAGGAAGATTTTATGATAAAGAATATTAAGGAATATTAAGGGGGATGGGTGTTGGCTGTAGTCGAAAATGAAAGAACATAGTTGTTTATATAAAAAGACGTAAGTAGTACGAATATCACTTTAAAGAGAGAAGACTAGTCATCTTTTAGATGCATGAAGTTGTATTGTTTGTATTATTAAAGTGAGTACACGTACACAAACATATATCGTTTATATATATAAAATACTTTACACATTAAATAGATTATCTTTTTTAACAATGGTTTACAAGAACCAC